TACTCGTGAGGGCAGGGGAAGACTTTTTTTTTGTTGCGCTCATATTGCAAGTCGCGGGAACAAAAAGCGAGTCGAGGGTCCAAAAGAAATTATTTCCTAATGAACAATAATACACGGGAGGACGATGAATTTTAAAAATGAACGTCGTACTCGAGCTTTTGTGCTCTTGGCATTATACCCGAAACGTCGCACAAGAGAGTGTATATGTATAGGTACAATAATAGAGTCGTATTTTCTCTCGTTTAATCATTGTGGCAAAATGAGATGCGCAGTTGGGAGAATATACTCGGTGGAAAAAAAAAACTACATTGGGATTAGCCGGCTATACAAATATTGTTACTGCAGCAGTCAAGGTAAAGCTAATGAAGGCAAAATTAATGAAGCACTACTGTTGGTGTTATTATAAAAAAGCTCAATTTTTCTGTACAAAATTTTCGTCGTGCACTTAACAACTTTCAGTAGCTTGTTTTACGTAAAGTATAGAGAAAAAAAAAAAAAAAAAAAAAAAAAAAAAAAAAAAATAGTACCAAATGATCTAGCGAAGAATTTTTATCAGCAACACTTCCTCATCAATGTAAACAAATAAAAATACTTGCATCGCACCCCTGCTTATAGGAATTTTCCATTAAAACCCAATGCGACTAAAAAAAAAAAAAAAAACTTTTATTGTCCTTGTCGTGTGAAATACGAAATTATTATTATCGCCTGGATGTTTTGGTATGAAAAATACCAAAGAAGTCCATAACACCCCAGGCTCCTAAAAACCCGAAGAGTTCGATGAACGATTGAAGGGAAAAAAAGGAGGAGGAGAAGAAGGGCCAAAGAGGAAAGAGAAAAACGTCGAGAAAAGTAACAGATAGCTTCCCAAAAACTCTGCTGCATTGTCCACACATATATAGGTACTATAAGTATATATAAGGCCTATATTATAATGTGTCCGTGGAACGCGTGCTGGCAAGCGGGGCGCGTGCACCCACGCCTATATGGCAGATAGATACAAGCATCGTGCACACACGTACACGCATCTTCTATTAGTAATCCTTTTGAGAAAGGGTAGACGTATAAATATGTTACGGGTATATAATGAGTATACGTATGTAGCTAAAAGCCACATCCTCTCGTTGGAGCACTGCACCACCACCCGAGCTGGATTGGAAAAAAGCAAAAGAAGAACATTAACATCGACAGAAGGAGAAGAAGGAAAAGTCATATGTATAGGAGGAGAAGGAGGAAGCTGATGCATGTAGCCTCATCTCCCTTTATCCACACACACACACACACATGCATGCATTCGGCAGACTGAAAACGAGAGAGAGAGAGAGTAACGCACATGCACACACATACAGGAGATCCTGATCGCTGCATCTCGCTGTTTTCCCACAGTTTTCGAGTAAGGGCCCAGCTGCTGCCCCCGTCGCCTTCCTCTCCGAGGCCATCGCTCCCTGATCTTATTGCGATGCCCATACATACGGCCATGTATATAATATACATACGGGCGGTCCTGCACGACACGCATAAAAACCAAGGGAGGAACAGACAAGAGGGAGAAAGAGAGAGAGAGAGGCGGCGCTGGCGCTGCAGTATTATAAATGTGTATATAACTATATACATATAGTAGGTATAGTAGTATAGCGATGGTGTTGGAGTAATTTAACTGCCGCCAAACTCCCACTACATCGCAGGATATATATGTATACATGCGGTATACGTATGCATTATAATACTCTCCAAATGGAACGAATAGCCGAGCACGAGAGGAGCTCTCCTTGGATTGGTTGCCGCTGTACCGTGCAATCCACATTGTGTACAACCTACCTGCATAACGGGTTATCCCATTGGCTTATTGCCGTATGGTGTACAACGCACCGTGCAGGGCTGTATCTTTTGGTTTTTATTTTCATTTTTATTTTATTGCAGCCTCCGCTTCGTCCCGTCCCGCTGCCATTTCTTCTCTGTTTTGTTCCTCCTCCTCTCTTAGCTGGACGAGGCATGCAGTTTTCGGGGGACTCTCTCGCTTGGCACCCATTTACTTTTCCTCTTCTCTCGATACTTATTCGTGAAAAAGAAAAAAAAAAAAAAAAAACCAAAAAAGCGAAAATGAAGGGTGAAATAAGACGCAGAAAAAAAAAAGGATTATGGGTCCGGACAGATTGCAGGCTGCTTCCCTTCCCCCCTGTCCCAAAACAACTAACAAACAGCTCGACCCAACGGGCAATAAAACCCTTACTCCCCCTGTTTTTTTTACGAATCATTTTATTTGCCAAAAACACACCGGGGACGAGAGGAAAAGACTGGAAAAATCGGCGTGCCATTTTCACCGTGTCTCGACGCCACGAGTGCTTCGAGCGGGGAGGAGGGGGGAAGCTCTCATTATATACGTTGTCGGTTCTTCGTTTTCGGAAAAAGGGTCCGCGCGCGATTGTCTTTCCCGCAGCTAGACCGTCTCGTGCGGCGCACAATGCATTTTTCGGAAAAACGGCACCGGTAGTTTTTTTTTTTTCGTTTCTTTTTTTTTTCTCTTTCTGCACCGCGAGGTATTTTTTTCCCTATTTCCTTCGAAAAAGGTGGACAAGAAGGGAATAGAAGGGGAGGGGGGAGAGAAAGGGTATATACGTATAGACACAACTGCAGAATCGCTGGTTTTTCCACGTCGTTATTTATGTTCGCAATGCTGTTGCTTTTACCCCCACCTCCCTTTCTCCCTCGCAACTGTTTAACCGCGCGGGCACGCATATAGGGGCTCGGCACCCTACGCGTGTATACATATGTAATATACACGCAGCGGTCCCCCTTTTCCGGGGCATGCGGATTTTCTCTTTTCGCTGACTGTTGCTCGACGCCTTTTAGCTGCAGTATAGCCCTTGTACGGCCGAGGAAGGATGTATATACATCTTTTTTATCCCTTTCTTTGTCGCAAGGGTGTGTGTATATATGGGTGCAAAAATTTACGGGCTCAGTTTTCCGCGGGGAACTTTTTCTTCGGCTCAAAGAGTTTACGTGTACATAAAAAGTATAAGCGAGAAAAGTGCACTGGGCACACAGTGTAAAAATTACAGAGGGAAAATCGTATGAAATGGCAAAAATAATCGATGGCTCGCACCATATATATATATACACCTCTGACGAATCGACACGTACGCGATGCATTTAAATTTGAAGCGCCGAGAGGTGGTGAGCAAAGGGGAGGCTCCACGCGCGTCTGTACTTGTATATACAGTGCACGAGAGGGTCGAGATAAAAATACAGAGACTCGGACGATTGGGCTCGAGGTATAATGTGTATATTGTACACGATCGTTAAAGTTTCACCGGGGGATGATAATTTGTTATTCCCAGAGAGCTGCAGCTCGCGAAGAAAAGTTGTATAGCGTCCGCGTCCCGATCTTCGATACACAGACGCTTATTATTATTTATCCAAATCAGTGCTCGCAGGAAACGGATAATTCGATCGCCTTCACCTCCTCCCTATGCACGCGCTTCAATTTTATAATCCTTCCCTCGTGCAGGTTTTGCATAATTACTCTCGGCCCGATTTCAATGTTTATATATTATATATGGTTGTTCGCGCGAGAGCTGAACTGATTGTCCCGACCCAGATGCTTAATTTTTTCGTACATTGGATTATACGCGTCTCTCCGTGGGGCTAAATCAACGGCGCGCGCGCACGTCTGTCGCCCCTCCCCCTTGGAGCCCCCTGTGGGAAAATCAAATTTTCCATTCGGACGTGGAGCTCGAAAAATCAATACAATCGGGACGAAATTACAAGGAGCCCGGCTCTCTCGTTAAAAGACTAACGAATTTTCCGTCCCGGCTCCCCAGCAAACGACTCGCCGATCGAGCCCCCGACGAATTACAATTTTAGATTTTCCGTCCTCGTACGTATATATATACTCTGGAAAATCAAATATATAACCTTGATTTTCACCCTTTGTGTGCAACATTCCCCCCCTCCCCCCCCTGAGTGTACGTAAAGGTATATACATGGGTAGCGTTGAAGTGTACAAAGAAAATCCACCCCCTCGGCTCTCGGGCGGTGGTGCAAAGATGCACCGGAAGCTCTATTCGTGTGGCTGTTTCTCTTTCCCGAGCCGATTTCCTCCTCCTCCCTCTCTTGTATACGATATATTTACGATGTATATATATGTTGGTCGCGCCGTGGATGTTGCCTAATAAGTATATGTACACCCCAAGGACTTGGCTCCCCCTTTTCAAAAGTAGGGTATATATATGGTGCAGGTACAACCCAGTGCGAGGATATGCACGCGCTGGTCAACTTTTATTCTTTCGTCTCCCGACTCGATCTCCACTTGCCTCCATCGTCCGCAGCACCTGTTCTTCGTTTTCTAGATTTTTTTTCCCCTTCAATACCGATCAAACATATTCATCGTCCTCCCTTGTAACAGCCGGGGGGGAAATTTAAATTTTCAGCCCAAGTACGGGTGCCCAGACTCCGGAAGAGGAGTTTCCCGTGCGAAGGCTCTCCCGTGCATTGGGTCACATGGGCGATCGTGACCGGACACGCGACTGTGATTTCCGGTCGGATGGTTTTACGGCCCCGCGTGCAGTGGCCGAAGCGTATGTACGTGTACTTGAGTACACACGTGTACTTACCTATACCTGCGTACAAAAGATACCAAGGTGTGGGTATACGGCATTTACTTCCTTCTCTCTTTGTTCGTAAATTCTTTTTTTTTTCTTTATCGACCAGCATTGATTTTTGCTTCGAATTGTTTTTCGTCTTTAATATATTGAAGATAATTACTGGTTTCGGGGCTTGTGCTAAACTCCGGTGTAAATCGGATAAATTTAATTTAATCGATGGTTCTGGAAAAGTTGATATTAATCAAATATTTCATGTACTTGTCTATCGAGTCAATAATACAGGGCTTTATAACTTTGGATCAAGTCTCAAGTGATTCATACAAAATATATTTTTTTTAAATATTATGGGATATTGAAAATAATAATAAATATTCACGAGATTGAAAAAGATGATTTTTTTTTTTTTATTACATTGTTAGCTTATACACTACTTACAAGTGGCAAACTTAAACAATCAGCGTGTGATGAAAAATAAACGTTTGCAATGACCGAATTGTCAACGTGCCGAGTAGTGCCATCTACTAGTGTACGACCTCAACGAAAAATTTCGACTTATCAGTTGCAGGTCATAACTTACGTGTGCATGCGAATGTAAATTACAATAATTATGTACATTAAGGTGTCGTTTTCGATTTACAGAAAAACAAAAAAAAATTTCATTACAAACCTAATAAAAACCCAAAATGAATTGCTAACATTATAAACTATAATTATACTAAGTGCAGCAATGACTTGTTAATCTTCCTTTCCTTTGATATCTAAGCTAATGTTACAAATCGAATAACAATGCAAAATTAACAAGGATTGGATTAGTTATTAAGTGTTATCGCGTGTAAGTAGAAAATTAGTACTCTTGACTTGTATTTACAGATTATCTGTTTGAATATTTTTGTCTTCTACAGCAACATCGCTCTTTGCATTGTATTTGTTGACAACATTTAGTATTTCTCGCAATCCATTGTTTTCTTCTTTCAACTGGCCCAAAGTTTCGATGTATTTTAAATCATTTTGTTCATGAATTTCGGAAGCAGTTCTCATAACTGTTGTCATTTCATCAATCTTTTCCGCTTGCTCGCTTATTACCTGCCATGTAAAATTTAATTAGCATAACATTGATTACAAGCATTAACTTCACGTAAATAATAATAATTATTATTAAACTTACATTTACGCATCTACATTCATTGTACTGTGAACAGCACTCTGTACTTGGTATGGCAGTTTCATTATTTTTAGTTTGCTTCAAAAAATAAGCAGTTTGTTGTCGATACTTTGACATGATTTGTTCCAAAGCTTTTTGGTAATCCTCTAGGGCAAGCCTCAGATCTTTGTTTTCAGCCTGCAACTCTCTGAAGTATTCATTGTTTCCTTTCTTGAATCCAGAAATAATCTCCTGACGTTGCTTCTGGTCTGCTTCTGTACTTATGGTTTCAAGATCTTCTTTGTACTGCAAATAACATGACACAATTATTTTGAACCTCATACAAGATATCAGTAAACAGAGTATCTATTGAGTTATTAATGAAAATTTGTACAATGTGTGGTTACCGTTGAGTATTGATTATAAATCGATTAATGCAGCAGTTGATGAGCAAGATAAAAAATACATAGGTGCACAACCAAATGAAATGAGATACTTACCTTAAAAAAATCAAACATACATCTTTCTGACAAACACAGGGAAATTATTTTCAGTGCACCAGGAAGAAACAACATCCACATGTGCAGATATATGTACAAGTTTTTGCAAAAGCATCACATTCGCAAATCATATAAATAGAAAGATGCCAATTCCATAAAAATGATTTAAACATTGCCGTGAACTATCAAAAAATTCCAATCAAACGAATGCCTCAAAAATAAACAGATAAAAAAACCAAACATCAAGCTAAGCTGTTCAAGCAGTTAATTACAGTTGTTCTATTGTATGCAACCTAATAAATAACAAACATTGGGAAAGGGACAGCAGGACTACCTGGGAAAATTAATAGACAACAAAATTAGCTGATCAGTGCAGTGTTGACAAGCATTGAAACAAATAAATGATGTTTTGGTATCAAAATGTAAGGTATCAGTTATACTTAAACTTAAAAACAGAAAGTGGTTAAAAGAACTGACCTGCTTCATACCCTCTATGTGACCAACGACGTTTTGTATCTCGCAAATCAGGAGATCCGCTGTTTTCTCTTGCGTCGTCATATCGTTCACCAATTTGCCCGCGTCAAGAATGATTTGCTGGAAGGCAAGAGCCATCTGAAAATCAATAGAAAAGAACGACGACGTGTCATATATTATAGGTAGAACGACCAAAATAAATCCCCCCGAAGCCTTAAGCTATAAGTAAGTACATGTATCAGCTGGTACATAGGTAGTCACTTGAAACACGTACTCTGTTAATTCATTTAACGTGTGGACAGTACCTAGGTAGGTAGGCATGCGGAGGAATAGGTGGACGTGATGTTATTGTTATTGTTTATGCACGTATAGGACTTACATGTATCGTTCCTACTTACGTAGGTGTGTATAATATTTAACTGGTAGCACTCTATAGCTTATTGGGTTATTTGATACAGCCCCCGCAAAACTCTTTTTTTGCTGCACCGACAAGCTTCCTAATTAAATTATTGTATCAAAGGAAGCAGCAGAGCGTTGGTCGCCCAACTCTTATACCATTATTTACTTGACTGCGATTTGACTCTAGTTTTATTATGAAAGGTTGCTCACCTTGACACACGTCCTTTGTATATTATTGATGTCTGTTTAATATATATATAGGTACAGCACACACTATGACAGTTGATAATGAGAGTCGATGATCATTAATTAATCAATACAGTACGATCTGTAAGAGATGAAAGTGCAATTCGATTGTGAGTAGAATAAATACAGATATTTCGGAGGATACAGCTGCTGTATGTACCTACTTAGTGTCGTAGCGTTTGTTTACTTATGTATCGCGGAATCACGGTTGATGATTCATAAACAGCATAAAAGTGAATAGTAATGCACTGACAATCCGTGTTATCTATACCTATACTGTACTATATCTGTATAGAATGGTGTAAATATACTATTTACTATAGTTAAGTTGTTTAAACAGGGGCAAGGGGGGAGGTCAATTGCATCGTGTGCTTCGAAGGTTATGGTCTTCGCTCTTTTTGCTTCGGACGTCATCGGTCTTCGTCGGCAGCCTTCGCTCGTGTGTGTATTTCAATCAACGCCATCTAGCGTGTGATTTTTCTCGTCGCTCATAGACCCTACTGACGTTTTTTTTTTGGCCGGCGAAGAAAAGCACAACTCAGATTTCGCCGTTCAAAATGACGTAGAGAAATCTGAGTTGTGCTTTTTTGTCCGCCAACAAACTGGCTATATTCGACGGCCCGAATATCCTACGGACGTTTTTTTGCTTCTTCGGACGTGATCCGGTGATCGGGCTTGGTTGGTGGGGTTGACTTTTGCTCTTGAAGATCACACCCGAAGCAAAAAAACGTCCGTAGGATATCCGGGCCGTCGAATACAGCCAGTTTGATGGGGACAAAAAAAGCACAACTCAGATTTCTCCACGTCATTTTGAAAGGCGAAATCTGAGTTGTGCTTTTCTTCGCCGGTCAAAAAAAAAACGTCAGTAGGGTCTATGAGCGACGAGAAAATTCACACGCTAGATGGCGCTGATTGAAACACACACAAGAACGAGGGCCGCCGAAGAAGCCCGATCACGCCCGAAGCAAAAAAAACGTCAGTATAGGGTCTATGAGCGACGAGAAATACTTATCTCTCGCACGCTAGATGATTGTACAATGCACTAAAAGCAGCTTGTGAAACTACAAGGGTTTTTATTCCAAGTTTTGATTGTTATAGAAATGAAAACACTTGCTTCTTTCTTGTCATTGTTGCATAGTTAGGTTTTTTTTACCCTTGAAAAAAAACTTAATTTTTTGTGCCCTAACAGTATAATATTAACGCTCCTTGGTTTTTTGATTCAAGGAAACATTGCATTTTTATGCAATTAACAATTATACTTTTGTAAATGTAAAACTTAAAATGTCTGGCTTAATACAGTTGCCAATGTTGAATCTGCTTTCGAGAAATCTTAAATTTAAAATGGTAAAGGTATTTGATAAATAACAGCTAGGTTGTTCTGTACTCCTGTAATCTTCAAACTTACTTAAAATTGTAAGATATTATGGATTTTGAATTTTTATTCCATCAGTAGTTTAATAATAATATGTCTTGGCTACATAACTTTTTTTTTTATTAAAAACGATTTCGTCATTTAAGTAAGATCAGCTCGTTGCTAGAATTACTTTCACGCGTTTCATCAGCAGCAGTCTCATTTTTAGGGTAAAAAATACAACTAGTACTTGTTTACAAGCGGATGAACGACATATTTTATTGCAACAACAAATAATGATTAGATAATCAAAAAACAGTTTAACTTACATACAAGTACATCAATATATATTATGTATAGAATAAACGAATGAAAAAACAAATTTTTTTTGTATAAAGTTTATTTTTAAAAATTAATCGACTTAGACTTACACAATTAGTAACAAAATATTTATATACATGTACAAATATACAACGTGAATATCTTGCTAACTTACTAATAATCATCTGTAATTACACATTTTAAATTTACTCCTCAAGATCATCTCAATATAGATTTGTAAAACCATGGCAAAAAGTTTCATTCTTTCATGAGTTTACTAGAAGGTGAACCAAGACCAATAAAAAATTTTCACGGTCAATTGATCTACTTATTATTAAAAGTGTTCATCTAGGTATGATACTCTGGACAATCAAACAGCAGGGGCTTGACTTTAATAGGCTCTTTTTCTGCTTTGTGCAAGAGCTTAAAACTTCCAGTTCCGACATGAGCTTGCAAGCCCATGATAATCGACTCTGACACACCGCAGATGACATCAGTCTGACCGTGATAGGCAGCATCAAACAAGTGATCTGCCGTTTTTTCGAAAGAAGCCAGGTTCAAAACTGACTCCTTCATCTTTGCCAGGCCTTGCCTAGTTATTCCCAAAACTTCACCCTTACTCGTCATCAAATCGGCTACCAACATCGAATGCCTTCGATCGATGCTCATGCCGTGACCTTCCATAACTTCCTTGATTTCCTTGATAATGGTAGTTCGAGCGGCCTCTATACCTAGAGTCTTGAATACTTCGATTATGTTGTTGGAAGTGGTTTTCTTCCACGTGACTCCGTAAGTTGCCATCACATCTCGTAGGTTGTCACCCTCAACAAATAACATGTACTTCCCAGTGTTCTCTTCAACGTTTATAACAGCTTTGGAAACCGAAGATATTCCTTTGATGATGACGTTAGGGATCAGCTCCTTGAGGTTGGATAAAGTTTGACTGATGTTTATCTTCAATTTACTGGGATGAATAATAATAACAGAATTTCCATGAGCACTAACGTTTTTAGGCTGTAACTTTAATTTCGATGCCGTACAAAGTGAATACATGATGGAATGTATGTCCACTTCTAACTTTAACAGCTTGATTCTGTTTACGTCGATTTCTAGCTTTAAAAAGCAATCGTCCCAGAAATAAACCTCTTCAATATACGAAGTTATTTCTCCCAAGGTAGTTTTTTCAATGCGCACCTTGACTCTCCTCGCAAATTCCAGATCAGCATCATTGTCCAAATGAACTTTCATGATGGGAGTCGAGATCTTGGCACTTGCGTTGATAATTTCCTTGACACGTGGTACACCCTGGGTAATGTTCATGGACGCGACACCAGCAAAATGAAAAGTCTTCAGCGTCATTTGAGTACCAGGCTCACCAATGCTCTGACCAGCCAAAGCTCCAACCGCGGTTCCCGGCTCGATTTTCGCTCTCATGTACTTTTCTTTGCAAGTATGAATAAACGCTGCCAGCTGGTTAACAGTCAAACGCTCCACGTATTTGTTGACTGTGATGCTCGCATCCAAGTTCTTTCTAATTCTAGCTATCCTGATGGCGACGGACTTCAAGAATACCATTAACTCTTGTTTAAAATCTTCACTCAGGCACGAGTACTCCTCAGTAGCCAGTAAATCCGAGCTTGCCTTGATAATACTTGGACCATCCAGCGGATCCTCTACGTAATCGGGGAACCTGCTCTTAACGTCATCCAACACGCGTTTGTAGTCAACTGGACAATCTTTGCCCTCCATGTAGACTGGATCCATGGCATCTCCCCCATACAAAATCTGAATGATATCGCCCATCGAGTTTCTAACTGTCATATCGTATTGTAGACAGAGATCTTCTAAATTCTTCATCAGCCTCCTTTGCATGTATCCCGTCTCGGCCGTCTTGACGGCAGTGTCGACGAGACCTTCTCGTCCGCCCATCGTATGGAAGAAAAATTCCGTTGGAGTAAGGCCGGAATAAAACGAATTTTCGACAAAGCCTTTGGCTGCTGGGATTTTGCAAGATTTTTCAAAGTGAGGCAGGGCCCGACTTTCAAAGCCGTCGGACACACGTTTACCGCTGATGGCCTGTTGGCCCACGCACGCAATCATTTGTGATATGTTGATGGAGCTTCCCTTGGAGCCGGAGAGAGTCATTATCAGTGGACTGTTGGTTGGATGAAGTTCCTTGAGGCACACCTTACCAACGTGATCTCGAATGACCGAGAGCTCCTTCAGAATAACAGCCTCAAGCGTGTCTTCTTCGTTAAAACCCGGCTGACACTGTAATTTTCCGCTCTCCATCATTTTGATGTATTCGTTGCACTTACCATATCCGTTGTCAAGCAGTTCCTGTTTGGCTTTCAGCAAACCGGGTCCCGGAGTCACGTCGCCAATGCCGATGGAAAAGCCGCGGTTCATGAGGTAATAGCTAGTAATTCTTGCCAATCGCCACATGACCAGGGCAGCGATATCTTCACCCCAGTCGCGGAGAAGTATGTAAAATATGTTGGCTTTTGCTCCCGAGCCTAGAGTCGATTTGTCCATTGAACCTGCCAGCAGTTCGGAATTTCTTATGTATACATATGAGTCGTTGACGCAAAACTCTTCGTTACTGGTATAAGATTTTCCTTTTGTTTTCAAATTAGCCTTTATGGGGCATTTGTCATTCGGTTTCATGATTAAACTGAAAATTTGCTTTCCTGTCCACAAGACGGCTGGTTTGATTATGGCAGGCTTAGGCATTGTTATATTCATCGATGCGTCATTATCCGCCAGTAAGCAGCTGATTAATTGACATGCCTGGGCTTTGTTGAGAAAGGTATCCTTGTGAGTTAACAGGTAGCCTCCAGTGATGAAATCTTGAGTCGCAGCAATCAACAGTTCGCCGTTTCTTGGAGTTACCAAATTAGATTTATTTCCCATGAGTATCAAAGCTTCAGCCCTAGCTTCTTCAGTTTGTGGCAAGTGCAGATTCATCTCGTCTCCGTCAAAGTCAGCATTGTAGGGTGTACAGACACATTCGTTGAACCTGAATGTACGATTTTCCAAGACCTTGGCTTTGTGACACATGATGCTTAACTTGTGAAGGGACGGCTGTCTGTTGAACAATACCACATCGTCGTCACACAAGTGTCTCTCAACTGTATCACCATATTGCAAGTCTTGGGCAACTTTTTGCCTGTTGCCATACCTGAGAAACTTTTTGAATTTCGTTTTGTGACATTCCACAAAATTGGCTCCAGGATGAACGTCAGGGCCATTTTGCACAAGACGGCGCAATCTTTCTATATTATGTTTGTTTACTTTTTCTGGGTAAGTCAAAATCTTAGCCACATGCACGGGTACACCTACTTGATCAATACGAAGATTTGGATCTGGTGAAATGACAGTTCTGCTTGAAAAGTCCACTCTCTTTCCCGACAAGTTACCCCTGAATCTACCCTGCTTACCCTTGAGTCTCTGTACAATACCCTTAGAAGATTTTTTTGGATGTAAGTTCAAAGGTACTCCAGACATAGACATTTCGCTGTTAATGTATAGGGCACAATGCAACTGCAAAAATTCCCAATACTCATTATACATTTGAATTTTCATGCCACTTCCACGATTTTTTTCAATTTGAAAGTTGATCAATAAAATCTCTGCCAGTTTTGTTGTCAAAGTATCTTCATTTGTACCTGCTTTCAAATCTGATTGAACACTTGGACGAATGCACATTGGTGGAACGGGTAATCTGGTTAATATTAAATCCTTGGGTAAACTATGCTCAGGATTCATCAGTAAAAGTGGGACATCCTTTTCTGGTATACGCTCCAAGATACCCAAGACCTCCAGCGGGGTTAAAATATGAAATATCTGCCCTTGCAAAATAGTTTCCAGTTCCTTGTCTTTCAGAATTTCATCGTATTCAGCTATTTTGGCTTGAATTACAGGATCCGAAAGCTTCTTTGACTTATATTTGATATGAATTATTTTCAAAAGCCCAATCTTTTTGACAATCCCATTTTGTTCGCCACAGTAAGGGCAGATGGAATTCTTCTTGGCCTTTTCGTGTATTTGCTTTTTTAGCGCCTTTTTGGCAAGATAACTGAGATTCGGCCTCAAAGCTTTGTTTAGGAAATTTCTCTTGTCCAGTGGACCGAGCATTACTTGAGAGCACTTTTTGCAAACGGTCTGCAAGATGGTGAGCACGCTTCTAAAGTAACCCACATGATACACAGGTAGCTCCAGGTCAACGTAGCCAAAGTGTCCGACGCATTCCTGGAGAGTTTTATTGCAAGTGCCGCAGTTAGCGACCTTATTACAGATTCCGAGACGTGGATCCAGCAGGCCATAGGCGAGAGGCGCGTGTCCATTGTTTTGGTCGTACAACGCTCTGTTTATCACCTGTAGGTGAGCCTGCTGTTTCATCTGTTGCCTGCTATCCACGCCAAACGTCACCTGCGATATTTTCTTTGTGACATCTGTCTCCCTATACTGTTCCTTCACCATTTTTGACTCTTTTTTAACTAAAAACTTTTTGAATTAACCGAAACACTTATCGCACTCTCACGTGGTCACGTGGTCGTACGGAAGCCCGGTCACGACACCTGCATATAAACGCATAAGCACGGCATTAGCACGCAGTCAAAGAAGTATGATATGAGTGCATAAAAACACGTACACTCGATCGCTTTCGGCTGTATAAGCTGTATTCCGCAAATGCTGCCAGCAGTTAAGTTTAAGTTACGTATAGCAGATTATGTAGGTCGTGGTAACGCCGTATGTCGGTGACAGTGTTGGGCTCGGTGGGTTCTGTAATCTGAATTATGTCAACATCAACACCCCCGAAATATCGGGTGGCATGGAACTGAAAACAGCAAAAAATAATGAAGTTTGTTGACATGCAGAACCCACCGACAACAGTTTTGAGTTTTAGTAGAGGTTGACGCTATACTGAAGGTTGCGGTTGGCAGCAAACTTTTGACCATCGCGGCCAACGCTGACAAAGACCTACGTCTACGTAACTTAACTGCAGGCCGTATTTGCGAAATACAGCCTCTGATGTTATCATTCTGGTAAAGATGAGAGTACGGTGTAAGATATACACGAAGTTATGTGTAGTAATCCTAAGTAGTAAGTAGTGCCATATGGTCGATTTTATTAAACCATATGAAGTAGATCTATACTTTTGGAGGTCCATTTTCGGGTAAAAGATAAATTGTAAACTTGCCGCAGATAGCACAAACCAAATCAACTTTTTATTTTTTATCTAGAAAATTAGTTGCGGCTGGTTTATAATTGATGACATGGCTCGACTGTAATTCGTAATAATTATTTGGATCAGCGCCATCTAGCGGTCTTTGTTTTTTGGCCAAAAGTGGCTCCCAAAATTCTGAAACCGAGCTTTAGCGCGTAGAGCCATTTAATCAAGTATAAATCAGCCGCAACTCATAATGAGCATTGGATCTTACTAAATAAAAAATACATTTATTACAGATAATTAAATTTTAAGTCTTAAAAATAAACAAAGAATCCAACATTCTCTGGTTATGTGAGATCCAATGCTCTATTCTTAGGAGACTTTTTCTGTGACTGAAACTCATTATTAGGCCTTTTTTCTTCAGTTGTCTCTTTTCGACTGATAAATTCACGTATGTGCTTGATCGTTATTCAAGATTTCAGTGACACAATACATATCATATACTTAAGTTAACTGTTGATTTAAACCATATAGTCAAAGGGCTGGCTGTGACTCCATGAGTCAATGGTGAAAGCCGTGAAAGGAAAGGTCTAAGGTATTGTAAATTGTAAGTTTGTGAATATGGTTGATTTTATAAGCCACATAAGATGAGTAGAATATTTATGCTTTTACATGTCGGTTTTTGGCTCAAAGATAAATCGTAAACTTGCCGCAAATAGCACAAAATACGTCAAATATTTATTACCTATTTACAAGATCAGTTGCGGCTAGTTTATAGTTATTAAAGTGACTTTACTGTGAATAGCAGTAATTATTTGGATCAGCGCCATCTAGCGGTCTTTGTTTTTTGGCCAAAAGTGGCTCCTAAAATTCTGAATCAGAGCAATCAAGATTAGAGCCATTTAATCAGTTATAAACCAGCCGCAACTCATGACGAAGCTATAAAATGAAAAAATAACAATACACTTGTTTTTGGCGGCAAGTTAACAATCTATTTTCTACCAAAAAACCGACCTTTTATGTATTTATACTTTTAAAGATAAATTTGCGAGTAAAAGATAGATTGTTAACTTGCCGCCAAAAACACATGTATTGTTATTTTTTCATTTTATAGCTTTGTCATGAGTTGCGGCTGGTTTATAACTGATTAAATGACTCTACGCGCTAAAGCTCAGTTTCAGAATTTTGGGAGCCACTTTTGGCCAAAAAACAAAGACCGCTAGATGGCGCTGATCCAAATTGTTATTACAGAATTTACAGTAGAGCCATGTTATCTATTATAAACCAGCCGCAACTAATCTTATAGAGAGAAAATAAAAAGTTAGTACTGTTTGTGCTATCTGCGGCAAGTTTACAATTTATCTTTTACCCGAAAATGGACCTCCAAAAGTATAGATCTACTTCATATGGTTTAATAAAATCGACCATATGATCTGGTCGGTGTCATCAGTACTCGGTACTCCTTAGTTTTGCGTGCATCTCTAGGATCAGTTTTAACTCTAATATTACAGGTAAACAAAAATTTTATTAACGAAAATCTTCACATAGAAACAGCGCCTATGTAAGGTTTACCTACCAATTATAGAGTTGAGCGCGTGGGTGGAAGGTTATTAAATTTATGGCTACAGGCTACGATTGTTGTAATATTTAAATATTTAAATCCAAAATTTATTTTCAATGATCCCAATTTCGTTTCCTTTTTCTTATAATTTCGTGTAATATTTCACGTGGGTACCATACAGATGATTACTAGTGTATGAACTTTCTTATACATACAAAGTTTAAATAAACCGACGTGGTACTGAAAATTTTATATATATATATACAGTTATTTTTTGATGACAATTATCAATATTCTCACCCCCATGTACCTTGCCTTAACCTATTTTCTTATACATCTTTATAAATCTTGCATGCGAATTAAGTTAAAGAAACAGTGACTGCATGTGCACGTTTAAGTACTTTTTTAATTGATGCAACTGTCCAATGTTGATACTTAAGTATACTTATGTGTCAGTCTATGCCGTTATACATAAGTATCAGTGTGAAACTGACGGAAACAGCCGAGCTTTGACGAACTCTGGGATGTCGTATGTCGTATTGTCGTGTAGCGGTGTGATTCGGCTAAAACGCTAACTCTCGTTATCTATTGTGAGTATATATATATAATTTTTTTTTAAATATTTATATATATAATTATGATCTTATATAGGTATATATATATACTCGTATGCATGCGCTCACTGCTCATTAAGCATTGTTACTTTCATTTGAGTATAGCCTTTTTTTTACTATTACGTGGCCTATATGCTGTGATAATAAAACATTATCAAACATGAAATGTATTCGTGTGATTGTACCCGATTTGCACGCGCATGTATGAATGATGAAATGGATGATTTTAACTCGCTTCTGCCGCATGTGGGTGTTAATTTTTACACCGTCGGATGATGATATTGAGTCGAGAGAGCTTGAGCTTTTTTTTATGCCAGGGGGGGGGAGCAAACGTATAACGGTATATATATATATATATGTTTTATGTCGCATAAGTCGCTATTATACCCACTCAGTCAGAGTGTCAGAGTCAGAGTCAGTGTGTGACACACGTGTATAGATATATTTGGAGCGAAAAATAGAGGCACACGTAAAGCTCTTCTCTCTTTCGTAAAAAGGCATGCGCGCATACCTACTTAAATCGATGATTATTACGTTTGTATGCTTATTGAGTTACGTTTTTTTTTCTCGAAAATACTACGGTTTTTCTCTCACTAAAGACATACGTATTTTCCTAGCTCCTATGATTAGAATTTATTTAACAATTTGTGCTTTTTTTACAAACAATGTAATGGTTGTACGAACATTTTTATAGTATTTGGAAATCACTCAAAGACTCTCAATGCATTCAAATATCACGTGGAAAAAAAAAAACTTGAACAAGTAAAAAAAACGTATCTAATTTTATCTGTTACCTCGTTAATTTTTTTAGAAATTTTTTCTTGGTCACATTTAAAACAATTGATGAGGTCAGCGGAAAAAACATTAAATGTATATTTAAGACCGACAAATTTTTCGAATAACGAATGAAGAAGAAAAAGGAAAAAAGAAGTATAACCATATATACTGGTACGATGATGTGTTATTTCGAAATGAATCTTAACTGTAAAAACTCAATTTAATGTATCAATATCTTTGAAATGCACATCGTGATAGATAGAAAAATCCGCCCGATTCCAGTACAGTAGTAATAATCGAAATGTATTTCCATCATCAATTCATTCACCATGTGTTAGACGAGCTCGATGCCCTTCTACCAAATGGTTTAGTACTATACTAAAAATAAAAATCATAGCCCTCACATGTATCCACAATCTCTGACTTTGATCTCATCGAGTCTTCATACCTTAAAAAAGGCACTTTCTCATATACCTTATTTATAACGACCATATACAATATACATAGTTTCACACGCCTTTTATCAATCGCATTCTCCGAGAATTTCGTTTTTATACTCGCCCCACCATATATACGTATATTTATAATAAAATGTGTACGCAACGTACACCTTACAATTCATATTTAGTATCTGACCACTAAACTATAAGCACAAGTAGCGTAATGTAAAGTTATTCGTGATATACAAAACCCACCAACACAGGAGCAAAAACCGCCGGCAGCCGGGCGGTAGCACACTTGATTCTATACATGTTATCTGTGTATGAGTCGACCGCCGCAGTCGCTGTCGCCGTACGTGTCGTAGATAGGTATACGGTATATATGTAGGTATAGGCAGGAGAGCACGAGTACATTAGTTCAGTTGAGACCTAAGTAGCCGCTGCAGCAGTCGCAGAACCGAGCTTTACGATACGCATCGCTCGAAAGTGGGTGTGACCGTCAATCAATCGGCTGTGAATCGTCCTAGCGGTAAGTTGGCCTTTTTTCTTCGTTATCCAGCTTATAAAGGGTACAAGTATACCGCATTGCGGTGTCCCTTCTCCGTACACACGTAGGTATATTATCTCCTTTTTGTGCATCTGCATTGTACCGCAATCCATTTTCCAATCCCGATCGGGGATGGGGACGATCGTTTGCCGATCGGTATATGTAAGCAAGCACGGTTTTCCGAGCCCACTTGTGCAGTACTTGTAAGGTACGATTTCGTAAATAATTCGGGAAAATAAATCAGAGCAGCTAACGCCTGCATGCCTGACTAGTGCTCCGTTTTTTTTTTTTTTTTTTTTTTTTTTCCCCTCTTCTCTTCTTCTTTGGGTATACTGCTTCGGTTCGCTTGTACGTGTTTCGCTATGCGATACCTATATAAATGTAAGTCCGTCCATAGGAACACATACACATCCGCACACGCGTATTTAGAAATGTGTACGTAACATCTTCAGGGACAAGCTTGTACGTATATGCGACGAAAGGATGTATAAGTACCAGAGAGTTTGCGAGAGCGTATGCCGGGAATTTCTGATGCGCCTTTTTTTTTTTTTTTCATTACAATATAATATTTATTACGCCGCATCGATTTTCCAACTCCAACGATCTATAACGTGAAAAAAAAATCGGTGTACTGACTTGCAAATGATTAATTGTGATTTCAGAGGAAAACAAGTAAACAGTATATATAAAGCAGAGCCAAAATGTCACAGCAGCAGTACTATCCTTTCAAGGTGAGTTGTTTGTTCTCTAGTTCCCCTCTTTTATTTTTGTATAACTTGTATACACGCTTTCATGGGGAATATCCCGCGCGCTCTGACACACTTATCGACCCGTGTACTTTCCTCCGATACTTATAATGCAAACAACATCTTCTGGCGGCAGATTTTCTGACGTATAGTATACACCTTGTACTTGCCTTTTAAAGCCTTTAAAATAAAAAAAAATAAAATGATTAATTAATAAAATGTATGGGGGGGGGGGGGGGAAAGAACGAAAGAAAGTTAAAAATAAACGAATAAACGAACCTCATAGTGCACGCCCACGGTGTACCCGGCGGATCCGTTCGACGCGAACGCGGACGCGGCGACGCTGAGGAAGGCCATGAAGGGCTTCGGCACCGACGAGAAGGCCATCATCGACGTGCTGACGAAGCGCGGGGTCGTCCAGCGGCTCGAGATCGCCGAGGCGTACAAGACCCTCTACGGCCGGGACCTCATGAGCGACCTCAAGAGCGAGCTCTCCGGCAAACTCGAGGACGTCATCCTGGCCCTCATGACGCCCCTGCCCCATTACTACGCCAAGGAGTTGCACGACGCCATCTCCGGCCTGGGCACGGACGAGGAGGCCCTCGTCGAGATACTCTGCACCCTCAGCAACTACGGCATCAAGACCATCGCTGCTTTTTACGACAATCGTGAGCATCGACATAATCACTTATTTCTTGTTTGTTGTCCATTTCATTTTTCTTTCGTTTTTCTTTCGAAACGCGAGAGATAACGGCTCGCTGATAACACATGCGTTTTTTTTTTTACCAAAGCGGCGAAATAAGCGCTCCCTCGGTTTTTTTTAACGCCCTTTGAAATTTCGACATTCATATACATTTACTTCGTTATCGGAGAAAACGATCCACGTGTGTAAATCCATTTTTGTGACAATGCGCCGAATGTCGGAAACGCCTTTTGTTTTTTACTTTTTAACTCTTCCGAGAAAAGTGTTTCGAAGCTTTTCATCGTCACAAACAGCCCGAAGAAAACGATAAAAACCACGAGCGGTGCACGATCCACCGGATAATTACCGATTTGTATATTTATCCGTAGGTGCATTTGTCATACTAATTGTCGCGCGCTTGAAGAAAGTACACAATAATCGTGGCTATATAGGTAAAGTGAGTCACGTGTCATTACAACTGACGGTTCATACAGTTACGATTAAAAAAAAAAAAAAAAAAAAAAAAAAAAAAAAAAAAAAAAANAAAAAAAAAAAAAAAAAAAAAAAAAAAAAAAAAAAAAAAAAAAAAAAGGCTCAAACGAGAGGTGAGGAGAGATAAGGTGAACGTAGCATCCATGTAAGCGTGATGTCATCGCTCTTGATGACCTAAGCGCACGCGGTATCCTTTATTATAGCCGCAACGTATGCGCGTCCTTCATTTTTCGAGTTGCGAAATAAAAATAACGTTTCGATTATGACGTCACGCCTGTTATTGTTGTTGTTCTCGCTTCATGATCTTGAGGAAACTTTTTTTTTTTTGTTTCTCACCGAAACATCTTCTTTTTTTTTCCCGCCCAGTGTATGGCAAGAGCCTCGAGAGTGACCTGAAGGGAGACACGTCCGGGCACTTCAAGCGGCTACTCGTTTCGCTGGTCCAGGCCAACAGGGATGAGAACCAGGGCATCGACCATGCCCAAGCCATTGCCGATGCCCAAGCCCTCTTTTCGGCCGGCAGTACGTATACATTTGTTCACCATCATGTAAGAGATACGTATTTTTGGGCGATTTTGTAACTTATTCGTCATTTCTGCAGGCGAGAGACAGTGGGGAACGGACGAATCCCAATTCAATGCCATTCTCATCACTCGGAGCTACCAGCAGCTCAGGCAAACCTTCATAGAGTACGAAAAGATTTCCGGCCACGACATCGAGGTGGCCATCAAGAAGGAGTTTTCCGGAGACGTCGAGAAGGGCCTTCTTGGAATTGGTACATTTATCATTCGATGTTCCCTTGCATCGTTTTGCGCGTGTTCTAACATTCGCTCGTTAATTTTCCTTTTCAGTTAAATGCGTCAAGTCGAAGATAGGCTTCTTTGCCGAGCGCCTGTACGACAGTATGAAAGGCATCGGCACCAAGGATCGCACCCTTATCCGGATCATCGTTTCCCGCAGCGAGATCGATCTTGGAGACATCAAGAAAGCGTTCGAGGAGCGCTACGGAAAGTCGCTCGAGAGCTGGATCGCTGTGAGTATTACTTATTGTTGTTTTACTTTTTTTGCTCGCCGTGCAATTGACATAGCTTTGGTAAATGCTTCAAATCTCCTTGGTACGTGTTACTCACTTCTTTGTGTGTCTTTGATACCAACACTCACCATTAATTAATGATAATCTGAAGTATGGTAGAATTGCTTACGTGCACTCTCGCAAACGCGAATATGATGCTTAATATGATGCCTTATCTGCTGAGAAAAACGTCGTATTAAATAATTGGTATTGGGTAAAAAAAAGTAAAAACAAATTAACGTTAATTTCACAAGTTGTCAAGTATACATAAATAACTCTCTGTCCATTGAACGTAATCTTAATCCTAAGATTCATTTTTTCTTGGCGTTCTGCCGTCAATTAACAACAATCATCAGTGCAACGCACCTATACTAGCGTGGTTATCTTTTTTTGTTCCAGGGAGATACGTCTGGCGACTATAAGAAATGTCTTCTCTCCCTCGTGTCGACTTAAATCATCCCTCCCTCGATAAAATTATAACGTCCATTAGATATACACTTATAAGTCTTTAAGAATTTCCGTTGCATTTGATTTATCAAAACTGCGCCAATTAAGTCGGTGTCCAATGTACGATTATTTTTTTCAAGAATTACGCTTATAGTCGTCCACACAACGTCAAGTATTGGACTTGACGTTTCATCAATGTGTTCAGTGTCATCGTTAATTAAAAAAAAAAAAAAAAAAGACACCAAGTTCAAACTAATTTCATACTTGTTTTTAAACGTGATTATTTGACGCAGTTTTTTTTTATGATTACACCTAATTTTTTATACTTGTAATGAGTAATATAAATTTATTTTCTTATTTTTTTTAAATATAAAACTGTAGCTCGACTATTTTTTTAAATATTATACACATACAAAGAGCGAATCTTTGTACTCAATAAAAAATTGTATACAAAAAAGTTATGTAGAAAGATATGTAAATGAAAAATGTTTTAATCAAATGTTACACATGATAGCAGTAGGAGATAAGGCACAATTAAATTGCTTGAGCAATGCACCAAGTGACTTGTTGTTAAATTTTAAAATGTACATTTATGCTAGTAATTTTTTATTCTTTCGATGGAATAAATTTGAAAATCTAACATCAAGATGAAATTTTATATTTTTTCTATTTTTAAACAGTTTGTCGTAATAATGAAAAGTAAACTTGTTAAAACCATTTTATCTACGTGTAAATGTTTACAGTCAATTAAATGATTCAAAGCATTTTATATGGAAAGAGAGTTGTTTATAATAATTTCCGTGAAGTTTCCTCACCCTTTGTTTTTTACAGCTAACATACGTATCACAGCAAAGTCTGAAACAAATAATTTTTTTCAGGACGACGTTGGCGGTGATTACCAGTACACTTTGATCTCCTTGGCATCGTGATGATTGTTTACAATTATACAAAACATGTTCCTACCTATCACAATGGCGTATTTTAAAAGATCTGCTTACAAAGATGAAATTTTTCCACTTTAAAAGTTACTTACACTTACATAAATCTATTTTTACGAAACGCTTCTTATACCATCTTGGGTGATCTAAAAGAAGAATCGATGAATTTATTTTGTGTTAAAGATTTGATACATAATATATGTTTTGTTTTCTTTTGTAAATTTTTCAAATATATACATATTCATACGTACAATATATATATATATATATATGTTGATCAATGTCAAAAATTGTCTCACCTTAAACGTAATCGATATCTCTGGCATCATCGGACTTTTCACCAAACGAATCGCAAACTTGTCGTCCGTCAGTTTCGTAGATTCCATCTTCACGTGGACATAATCAGCCACATGCTGGCCGCCAGCCGGTGCAAAGTAAGGCGTGCCGTCTTTGTCAACTTGTGTGACAATTTCATTTGTAATGACCACCTAGGAGTGGAATTCGCACTGTCAACCGTCAATGAAGAAAATAATTGGAAATGTGCAATGTATATATATGACTTACAGCCAAGTCATGCTTGAGTGCCAATTTGTGCAATGCGCTGAGAATTTTTGAAAAGTAGTAAGGTCGTTTCAGTGGATCATCAATGCAGCATAATATGGGCATCGACAAACTATCGACAACAATGAGACGAGTCTATATTGTCAACACAGTCAATCATCATCATCATTATTATTATTATGAAATTTCTTTGCAACAACAGATGCGTGTGTTTGCTATAATATATACCTTCTTATCATTTTGTACTTCTTCCGCCAAGACTTTTCCTACACAATCGATGATTTGTAAAAAATCTTCCATGGAATGCGGTGCTAAGACATGGATATTGTTTAGAGCTTCGTTTTCGTTCAGTTTTAAATCCTTGAACAATTTATTGTAGCCTCGAATAATGTCTGAAAATACATGTTCACGTATCAGCGATTATCAAGTGTATATATGTATACTTTAATCGAGTGACTTTATGAAATTTTAAAGGCCTTAAATGATTAGACAAATGAAATTTTGGTAAAACTCAACATTTTATTTAAACACGACTATGCAAGTGACGTCGTAGGTGGTGTTGTATTAAACTAAAGTATATTTATACACAGTTTAAATATACTAAAGCTCATACATTAGATGCGATGAATAAAAAAAGTTATTCCTTAAAATTAATCTTCAAAAACTCAAAGTTTTTCAAAATACATATAATTTGCTTCAACCCTGATTCATCAGCATGGAATACCGATTATTGGCGTCGTAGTACGAGACATTGTCGTTTTCTGCATCGTACGCATCCTCGTCGTCCGGGGACTGCAAATTGCCTCTATTCTTATTTCTGTTTTTCCTTCGTTTGCCCACATTTATTCTGTTGTCGATGGCCTTGGCAAACATACTTCTGACAGTCGCCAACATCGAAACGAAAAGTTGCAAGAGACTCGGCGAGGTTTGCAAAACATTGCTTATGTACACATCGATGTCGTGGCGTTGCTTAAAACAATTGTACAAATTGTACAGAAGGGTGCTGTTCAAGAGTTCAGCAATATTGGGATGAGGATACGGATAGCCGAGCAATGCGTTCAAGTGACAACTGTGTCTCAGGCAATTTTGAAACAGAGAGAAGGCATGGACTGTGGATATGTGAAATTTCTTTGGGTTCATCAAAAGCGATTGGTCCATGCTGAAATTTGATAAGAAAAATCGCAAGGCTAGCAAACAGTCGTCTGGGTTTACCATACTGTAAGCTTGGTACACGTACATGTTCGTCGCTGGTTGATAGTGCAAGTTTTGTCTACTTTGACGCAACGCGTTCAACTGCTGCCCGAACTTTTTGTCAACATACGATTGGGATCTGTGAAAGCCGATTTTTTTGTCGATGACGTGGAACAGCATTGTAAATAATAAAGCATACAAATGGCAATTGGTCCCGAATTGTGGCTGAGCTTCATTTACCCAGTGTTTGATTGTAGCTATGTAAAGCCTCCACTCGGGTGGGAACTCGTTCATCACCTGATCCGTAACTTCTAAAGTATTATCTAGTATTTCCTTTCTTATCATGAGTGGCATTTCGCGTAAACGTGATAAAGCAGGAAATTTACAGTTGAATATGCTATCGTCGCATTGTAATTTATCCCTGACAATACTAGTCAGTTTGCCTCTTGTCACGTACTCGAGAGTATTACAATTAGTTGTTCCTGAGCTTAATAATTTAAAAATCACCCGAATGAGTTTCAAACTAACATTGATACAAGTGGGCTGACTATAGTCTTCGATTTGTACTGGACAAACATATATCTGTCTTGTCAACATGTCTATGAAATATGATGGATAGTTGGCAGCATTGAACTCTTGTATGAACCAAAGGGGTACGATTTTGCACAGATTGCTTTCATTTTCTGGCATAACAATGTCCAGTTTGTCGTCGCTACCTCCACTGTCCTCGTCACAACTTAAATCGGTTTCATCGTCATTATCAGCTTTCGGCTCATATATGACTTTCAAGTTGTTGACATCTTGCTGAAATTTGTACGACTTGTTGGGAAACTTTTGCAAAAGATTATTGACAAACTCTGGTGAAAATCCCAGAGGCAGTAACATCCTTGGAGAAGCAACCAAATACCCATTTATCACCATTTCCATGACTTCAAGAATTTTTTCCCTCTTGCTGGGATTTAATTTACTTAATACTTTGGCAACGGCGTTGTCTAAAGTTTGATTCTCGAGCCACCTGAAAGTTGCCTCTATCATGCGCTGCTGCCCATTGAACTTTCTCTTAGAAGTCTTGGGGAGCTTCAGTGTACTAAAAAAGTCTTTAAAATTACTTCTGCTGATGTAATCGTTGCCCAATAAAGTTGCAGCCAGAGGCATAAGTGTTCTATCCATGTGGGGAAAACGTTGCAAAAAAAAGTCAATTTTGTACACCTTGCAGTTCTTCATGAATCCATTACCGTTTGGATTTCTGACAATACCGTTATCCAAAGTATTGTAAGGTACATACATAACATCAAACACGTAAAAATCGGAATCAAAACTAAGAACAGGACAGTTTAAGAGCCTAGCTACAGAGGCAAGGTCATCATCTGCTTCAAACAAGGACTGGGCACATTTGATGTTTTTCTGACTAAGAATATTTTTGAATGTCTCCTTCAACAGCAAAGGGAACAAAACAGACCTCGTTTGTCTCGATGGCATCAAGTTGCGGGCAGCGTGTATCTTATCCCTCGTTCTCTTGTAAATAGTATTCATTTTCTTGTCCTCTGAGCCACCATCAATAATGACCAACGGTGTGATATTGCATCTGAGTAATTCGTCAAAGAAGTTGGAAATACAGTAGGCATACTTGTCATAGTCACCTCCAAAACAAGAATTGCTTTTTGTATCGTAAGTATACAGTTGAGATGCTAAACTGTTGCCATCAATCACTAAATAACTGTCATGCAAACTGTATCTCTGAAGATGTACATCCGAGTGCTGGTTCATATATGTCATTAATCCAGGTATACCCATCTTTTTTTACTTTCTTACTGATAACAACAGATGTAATAGTTCATTAATATTTGCACAATTAACGTTTTGAAATCAGATTAAATAAATAAAATCGTTTCATTTCATCCAACAAACCAATAACCTGCATGTATTTCATTTGATTACTGAAAAAACAAACATTACATTGGTTATTTAATCGAAAGAAGAATTTTTGAACACAATAATCATCAAAAAATCACTTACTTTACTAGTATTTTACAGCATGTTTGTAAAATCGGTAATGTTTATGTTGTATTTACATTTCTGTTTTACTCCTCTTGTTTGTATTCCATATATATATATATGTATAAAATACATACATACACTAAAGAAGTATACTACTGACGTTTTCATTGTTACCAACATTCTAAATAACTTAACTCTGATATTTTGCACTAAATTTTAATTTTACTTACATATAATGTACTTAATATAATATAGTAATGGAGAGTTAACAGTTAAATAGTATAAAATAATCTTGTAATCCAGATTAAAAAATACCGGCATAAATACATACTTGTATTTTGAACAATATAAAAATTTATAAATGATACAAATAATTATTTATTTATTAATTTTATTTATTTATCCATCCAACTCGTGATGTTCATAAATAATTACTATAAAATATTTTTTACATTTTAACCTTTGGTATTAGACATTGTTCGTTTTGATTGCTTTGAAAAGTAATTTGTAGTGTGCGTTGCATAATTGGCGTAAAAAATTCGAATGTTGTTTTTCATTGTCGTATCCTGCTATATGATTTAAACTTTGAAACGTGCCCTACCCGAAAAATGTTTGACATATATATAATATATTTATGACCCGCAAAACAGATTGGGGTATAGAGCAGTGGTTTCAGTAATGATGATGACTATTATAAAATGCGATAATTAAAAAAAAAACAAATTTTAATGACGTAAATAAGCAATGAATTTCCAAATATGTCATACTTTTTCATTTAAATCATAATTTTGGTGTGCTTTGCAACAAAAACACTTAATATCAAATAAAAAAAAGTACACTTTGTAATCAGTGTAAGTAGATAATAAATAAAGAATGGGAAAGGGAATTTAATCAACGTTATCATTGATATTGAGACACGTACATGCTGCTCAACGTGTATAGGGATTGCCTTGTAAGTATACTGCGTCATACTTTACAGCTTAATGAATTCACCAACAAGTCTATACACTTATTGCTGTTTAAAAATAACACCCCTTTGATGAAAATGGGACAAGCGGCACCTTATTCATTCTCTCACCCTCTGCATTAAATCGATTCACAAATCCCTTGTGTCAATGAAGTATTTTTTTTTTTTTTATACTTATACAGAGAAGTGTACATCATGTAGTACAGTAATATAATCTTCCTGTCAATTTGGCGACGGGACCCATTCATTTTTCATATTTAACGCAAATGAATTATTTACCATCTTATTCTCATCAAAGCACTAAAATTTTTTTTGCAATTGTCACACAGCAAAAAAAAACACGTTTTTTATTGACAGAAACGTGTCATTCAAAGCGCAAACGCGACTCCCTCTTTTTTATTATCATCCCCTCCCTTTTGAGTTCACTTTTAATTTCATACACACGGTGTCTATGTGTGCATGCAAATTCGTCAGTGAGGGAGGGAGCATCGGTCGGTAGGACAATTTTTTGCGCGTCGCCTTGCTTTGAATAGCACAATTTTAATAAAACTCTAAATTAAACTTTAAAAAATATTACTATTGAAAAAAAAGCATGTAAAGATGGTGGTTTTACTTCGTAAGCAGTATACTACTCGGAGGAGGCATGAGTCTGTGTGAAATGACAGTTCAACAACATCATAACCCTTGCTTAGAAAACTTTGGCTAATTGGGTAAATAAAGTTGTGAGTTATGAATTAAAATTTGCTCTTTCAACCATGATTAATTTTTCTTGTGTTCAGAATCATAACAATTAGGTCAAAAAATGTCGGAAGATCTGCACAATTTTTTCTTCTACGCCAACACTTGTCACGTTTGCAAGTCTTGTGGGTACGAGACGGCCCTGAAGAGATGCAGCAATTGCAAGATGATATCTTATTGCGGCAAGGAACATCAAAAACACCATTGGCTGCAGCATAAAAACTTATGCAGAGTTTTGTCAGAGATGCTCGATGAGACGGACAAATCAAATCTTTTGGAGGGTTTTGGGGGTGTGAGCCAACATGAGTGGGTAAAGGCAAAGATGAATCTAATGCTTCTTGTTAGTTTGAAACTTGAAAGAAAGTTGGAACCGTACGAAGAAGAAATATTTAAATTTCCCAGAGCCTGTGCCATCTGTCACGAAGCAAACTCCAAATTGCTCACAGATTGTCCATCTTGTCCTTGTGCTAGTTTCTGCAAGGTACACGAAAAATACTCGGATCACGAAAAACTCTGCAAGATCTTAAGTCTCTGTTACAATTTGGACATAGCATCAACGATTTTTACCAGGCATCCTCCCAGGAATACTGTCCCTTACCACACCGAAATGGCTTACTTACCAGCATCCATACAAGGCTTCATTGATCTCTTTGTCAATGAAGGCGATTCACCCCTCAATACAAGAGAATTACAAAGCGCACAAATATCAGAATACCTTACTAGACCACTAACACTGCTCTACGCCTTAGAAAAATTAGAATATAAAACAGAAACGGCAATGACTATTCATGTTATTGGAGCAAATATGATTGAACTTGATGGTATTGAAATATGGGAGACTTTGTTACACTGGCTGCCATCATTGATCACATTGAATATGGTTTTAATTGGTCCAGAGCTGAATAGCAATAGAAATAAAATTAAGTGTAACGTTTGTGAGTGTTGCATTGAAAAGGACATGAAACTTTACCTCGAAACTCACGGAGTTTATTACAAAGATTACGTTTTGAGTGATAGTTTTGTTCCACCTGACATTGTAGTGGGATATAATTTAGGGATCCATGAATGTGAAAATCTCGACTCCTCCAATGATACATGGTCACATTCCATAAGAATTGTGCTTGAACAAAAATGTCCGTTTCTTGTAACGTCATATACGTCAGAAGAAATGAAAAAAGAGCATAACAGGCTGTGTCATATTTTAGACAAAAAAGTTAATTACGTATTGTGCGAAAAAAATCCATATGGTAGCTTAAGGCCACACAGAGACTATGAAACAGAGGGAGTTTATTATCAAAATCAATATCTACTTATTTACAGAGATCTAGACTGATGAGTTAAATAATTTTTTAATGTTAGATTTCAAGTGTAATACTCATTATTTCCTCTCTGGTGTAAAAGACGTTAAATATTCACGTTGTAACCCACATAAATTTTTTAACATTAACGTGTCCTCGCATATATTACACGTATTTCACGAATCTATTTGTAATGGAAAAGTCAATATTACTCAAAGGTGTTTGTTACTTGATTAATATTTTCAAATCATATTTAATTAGTTGAAAAATATTAAAATACAATCAATCTATTTGACAAAGTAATACATCGAAAAAAGGACTAAATATACTTGATGTATAATTAATAGTTCTTGATAGTTGTTAAAATAAAAAAAAAAGTTGCTAAATGTTACGGATGAAAAATACAATCATAGTTTTTATATCAATTTTACAAAGATGTTAAATTATTAATGTTATACTCCTTAAACGTTGTAATCGGTATCGTGAAATTATAAATGTCGTGTTTGACATAAGTTGTTTGATCGTGCATTAATACATCCAATATTAACAATTTGTATAAATTAATAAAGAAAGGATAGGAATGATCGTGGGGTTTGATTCGAAAAGCAATGCAAACGTAACGTTTTCATTACATTACATCAGTTCCATTACAGGGTGGTATTCCGTATACTCCACCGCGCCACGCTATATAGGATGACGGTACGTTACTATTTACAAATATATTATATTCATTGTAACGTGACGTTATAAATTGTGGCGTGGTGTAGTGTAGAAGTTATGGAGTATACCACCCTAGGGGTAAATGACACCTGCCAAAATGGTAAAAAACCAGAACGAATATATGATGCCAAGTACAAATAAATTTAGCTACAATTTTATAACATGTACACTGTTCTTACCTCTAAGCCTTACACCAAAAACTCCACTTCTGGTGTCAATGTATATGGCTCTCCCATTTAAACCACCATGACATTTGTTCAACTGCACTGATATAGAAAGCTGCAAGCTAGAAAGTATAATTGTTAAAACAAAATAATTAAGATTTTTCTGTATTAAAAACTTATTGAACAATAAATGTTTATGCATTGGTTGTTGCAATTGATGCACTGCCAAGGTATTTAAATTTACCAAATTTGTGTTTTTCCTGAAAACGGAGCCCCGCTTAATTCCGTTATCACACCACATTGAAAGCCATTTCCCAAAACAGCCTCCAATTCAGAACAGCAAACTAGTATACTTTGTCTTTGAGTATCACGCTATTATAAATCAGAATTTGTGAAATAAAATGTCAACATTGGCCCGACAATTTTTTTTACGTACTTGCCAAACATCTAATGCCAGAGTTCCTGGAACATTTAATTGTTTTTCTAACATGGATCTGTTCAAATCGAATTTCTTTAGACAATCTGCAAAAAAATTCTTCATTAGTATAATCACAAGTATATGAAATTAAAACTTCATAGAAAAGTGAATGACACGTGCGTTTGTACAGTACATACCTTCATTTTTTAATAAATCTTCGACATAATAGAATCCCTTCTTTTGCAAGTCAGTAATCGTCGTGCTCGGCAAATCTAGAGTAATTATCGGTCGGAGCATTGTTCATGGCCGAAACGCACAGAAAACGCGTAAGAACTGTTTTTGAAAACTTGGATTTTTCTGAACATGTGCAATGATGGAAGTATCGACTATCGAAATTTTATTTATACTTTTTACCAACGCAAATGTCAAATGTGGCTCACTTCACAATTTACTTCAGTGGTTGGCAACGTTGGCAAGATTGATATAGAAAGCCTTTGCAAAAAAAAAACGTGACCTTAACCACAAAGGCATCGATGAGGTAAAAAAAAAAAGTTAAGTGTCTGCGTTGGCCATATAAGGGCAGAAGATAGAATTGACAGAAAGAAAAAAATAGAAACTTTTGCGTAGGATAAACCCATAAAGTCCATCGAGAGTTTGTGTAAGTTTGTGTAACTTAAAGTGTACGAGATATTTAAAGCTTTTGAGTACTTACTCTTTATTCCGTATTATAATCTGAAGCATAATCCAGAATTGGTATTTATTTCAGTGATATTTAAATTTTTGGATTTTTAGTGTTTCTTATGTAAAAAAAATCAAATGTATAATCTATCGTAACAATACTTTTTTTTACAAGGATATTTTCGTTGCTTTCAGGTCATAAAATACCAAAACAAAATGGATCATTTGATTCAGCAAAAGGTTGTGGAAATCGCATCCGAAGTTGAGAAGCAGTTAGATTCCGAGATAGAAAAATTGGATAACTTGAACATCGATGATATTGAAAAATTGCGTGAACAAAGGTTAAAAGAAATGAAAAAGATGCAACAACAGAAGCGAACATGGCTTTCGCAGGTGAATATTTTTATTTTCATTATGCAGGATGTACCTAGTTGAAGTAATTGATGATTTTTTGGTGATATTTAGGGTCATGGAGAATATACTGAATTATCTGAAGAAAAAGAATTTTTTGACGTTTGCAAGAAGTCCGACAAGGTTGTATGTCACTTTTATAAGAATGGAACAGAAAGATGCAAGATCTTTGATATGCACCTCAAACTACTTTGTAAAAAGCACCTCGAAACACGTTTTATTAAATTGGATGTTGAAAAATGTCCGTTTTTAACTGGTATGGGTACATTTCTACATTTTTTTCAATTGGTCAAAAGTATATCATATGTCTAAATAGTAAATTTATTTATAACAGGTCGTTTGAAAATCAAATTAATTCCTACCATTGCTTTAGTGGTTAATAGTAAAACAAAAGATTATATAATTGGATTTACCGACTTGGGAAACTGTGATGATTTTTCAACAGAAGTATTAGAATGGAGAATAGCACAAGCTGCTGCAATCAATTATAGTGGTGATCTCATGCACCCACCTGATAAGACTAAAATGCAAAAGCAGCCAGCAACAAAAAAAACTATTCGTGGGAGAAATTCTGATGATTCGGATTCAGATTAACACTTTTGTACCATAAAATATTTATAAAATTCTCGTTCTTTTACACTTTTTATATTAATCATGTTTTATATAGAAAATGAGTGATTTGTTTCATTAAAAAAAAAAACCAAACTTTATTATTTATTGTATATTTAGAATCTACTTTGAACAGTTTTTCATATGTAAAAAAATAAATTAGTCCATGGAATTATTTTATCTTGAATGCATTAAAGGTATCCACAACCTTATTGGAAAGTTAATATTTGTGTTATCCAAACCACTTTAGTTTGTTCACTGAAATAAAAAAAAAAAAAAAATAAGTTACAGATTATCTTTAAAAATAATTTTAGAAAATAAATGAGATGGCAGGTGAAAAAGTAAATGAAAGTATTAAATACTTTAATTCTTACAAAATTATAGAGTACAGTATAAATACAATACAAAATTGAAACTATAATTCAAAAAATAATGCATACTGAGTTCGATATGAGCTCGTTCTCGTTTTTTTGATTAATTATACTTTTATCTCTTTCATCCCACAAGGTAAGTCCGTCACAAGCACATATTTTTTTGGCATTCTGAAAAAGTCCTGATGATCTTGCTATGATGCCACATGCTAATCTAAAAAAAAATATACACATACCTTGAATATTTACAACTTTAATGTCACTAATATTAGTAATTAACATAAACAATAATTTTTAAATCTTAAATCATTGATTACAAACACATAATTATTACACATCGATATTATATTTAATATGCAATGTACTGTAAAAAATTCTAAATAAATCTTTTAAAAAATGCAATTTCGAATCACTACTTTAAGAAATAATCATGTATGAAACAATTGCTCCATCGGAACAAAAAGTTGATAGCGTTCCAATCAAATGTTTGTTCAAGATCCAGCGTTGATTGAACAAAAATTTGTTGCAAAATAGTGTGTCGTTGTTATAGTCTGATTTTTTACGGAGAAATGTATGCTGGAAGCCGTCAGAGAAAGAAATACACACCTCTCTAAATATGTCATAATTTTTATCTCTCTCAACGCATTTACGCGGGACAATGTATGTACATGCTTGGATTCGAGCGAAAAGAGGGGGGAGAACGAAGAAAACGTTCAGTTCACTCTCTCTCGCAACTCGCAACGCCCAGTCGAACGTCACGGAGAAGCGATACGGTATGCCCGCGAAGAGGAGAGGAGCAGAGGAGTGTAGCCGTGTAGGAGAAGGAAAAAGATAGAAGATAAATTCAGTCGACGTCGACACTTTTTAAATACTCGCCGTTGAGTATATACTAATAAGTATTCGTCGTCCTATTCCTGAGTTGGCAAAAACCAAGTTCTAGGGCCGTAAGTCGTTAGTTGTGTTACTTACAATTAAATCAACTGTGTATTTGTAACACAGGTATATACTATACTTTACACATATACTATAACTGTTTAGTATAAGTAAAAAAAAAAAAGAGTACGGTTAAGTTCGGTATAGAGTATCGGTGAAATCGATAACAAACATTATACCCGTTCACTCGCTCCCTTCCCCATAAATAATTCATCATTAAAATCGTCTTATCAAACGTGCGTGACGCATGCAATGCCGGCGCAACAGCCTCAAGCCTGCGGTACAACGGCTATTCGAGGAGCAGCCGGCACTGCTGACCGTCAGGAACAGCAGAAAAGCATCGACGCGAGGGCGCATGGGATCATCAGTAGCAGCACTGCAGCCCAGCTTACCCGAACACTGGCTCAGTCCGAGGCTCGGCTGAGCACGGGGGCGGATAACGAGAGCTGCTGCAACCCTTTCCGAATACCCAACCACCACGTAAGAGGAAAGAACTCGTTGAGGAACGTGCCCGCGACAGTGCGTGAGTGCCTGACTCATGTTAACTTCAAGGGAAAGCGTATTTGCTACTCTTGTCGCATGCGCGTTTACGAGATGCTCAAGGAGCGCAGAGTCATAAAGCCATCGTCATCAAGGATGAGTCTAGTTACTCGAGGCTCTAGTGTGGCTACCGCAGCCAAACGGAAACAACAGCAGCAGCAGCAACAGAGAAAGAGCGAGCCTACGTCGGCGATGAACCGGCTCAGTCAGTCCGCTGCTCCAACACCCGCACCTGTAACTGCCGTTAACCGGAGGGAGGAGGTAGAATCCGCGATGTCCACCCAGGAGTCGAGGGAGAGGCTACCCATACCAACGACGGCCCGGGATGCCGTCGAACAGATGGCAGCGATCGCACCCGAACATAATAATATGTCGTCGGTTGACCTCGTAGGTGCGTAATTACGTTTTGTTACTTTTTTTTTTTTTTTTTCAAAACATGTTTATTCGGAGTTTATTGGTGTGTGCCGCCAGCACACCTCCGTCCTTGAATTTAGTCTTTCGGTGGCGTTTGCGCGCGCTTTTGTAGGCCTTCTTGCAACTCGACATCTTTCATGCATGCAAACGTGCAACTTGCTAGCTTTCAAGCCTGCACGCACGATGTCGTTAACGGGCTTCCGTACTTCTCGCGCGCGCTCTCTCTGACACTCCTCCCCTTTCCCCTGCATGTATATTTCTCTCTCACTCTTTCTCTACTGCACATATTCATTTTTTTCTTTTTTTTCTCTTGCCCATTATCATTAAGTATAGGGGTTGAAGTATTGTAAAACTTTCTCTCTAATTTCCTTTGACCTTGCATTCTATAATACACTTTCACTACTTAATGGTTTCTTGTGTTCATGAATCATGAAACCATTAACTTTGTAAAGTTTTTTTGTTATAGTACGATATGGTAATTTTTAATGTTTTTTTCTTACAATTTCACCACATTTGAAGTTAAATGACGACTTTCAATCATTAGTAATCCCAAAATAGCTGGTAACTTACCTTTTTCCACTGTTTCCATCGATTTTAGATAGAGGATTATCACCTTTGCCAAAATCGTCTGCCTTTTCTGTAATGACTAAAGATCTGCCAATGATATCGTCCACATTGAGAATGCTGTTTAATATTCTAAATGTTCCCCTTCCTGACTCATTTGCCAATATATTACCGAGGTCACCAACATGCTGAACAAGTACAATCACAACAAATGTAGATATCACTGCATTTGATGTAACTATGGAATTAATAAATTTAATATACCCTTTGAGATGGTGGATCATCAGGTCCTCCATGAGATGTATTGTTGGGATTAAAATGCTCTCCTAAACTAAAAAATTTTGTATCGAATTACTTCACAAAAACTCAAATATATTGTAGCTTCAGTACCTTTCACAACCTTGTGAAATATCACCGCATTCATGAATGTGAAGTCCATGAGGGCCTGGTGATAAGCCATCTATAGTGCCATCCACTATACACCCATTTTTAGTTGTAACAAATCTTACTACACCTTTCACAATGTCACCATAACTGTAACCAGAATTTCCACCCAACATAGCCACAGCACTGATATCATTCTCTAATAATTGAGATTAAAATAACCTTTTTATTCTTGTGATTCTTTATTATTTCATTTCATTTAACATTGTTAATCGACATTACTTTACCTCCATATCCTTTGAGTACAGCCTTCTTACCAGTACTTTCTATAACTTCTTGAATTTTGGTATGAGGTAATTCAGTATCAACAATAACAGAGCCCTGCTCCAAAGATATTTGAACGTCATTTACCCCATTCAGCTGTGACAAACTGTTTTCTACTTCATTCACACATTTCTGACACGTCATCTGCACCTCGAACTCAATCTAGAAAAAAATTAATAATTATTTACATTTCGAATCATAGCACTGCCAATTGCCAATAAACGTAATTTGTGAAAAAAAGTAGCCTATACTTAGTCACTTTTTGCGCATTTACTGGAGCACTTGCGTGATAGTGCAATCTAAACTTACCTTTGTGGATGTCATTTTTTTTATCGTTGCGGAGTGATTAAAAATAAGTAGACAAAAAATACAAAAGACGATATACTTCAATGTATATGATAAAACGCGATAAAGTATGATGCAGCAAATATCAGCCGGTCTGAAAAGTTGCAGGTTAATAAAAGTTGTATTCAGCTTAGCTATCTAGGGCGCCTCGAGGCACTTTTATATCATAAAAATGGATGTAGGTATTATATTTCTACAACACGAGTGCTCTCCAGACTCGAGAGCGCTCAACACAACTAAAAGTATTTAGAAAATTTATTGATGGAATGCGTGTCAAAACCTTCAGGTTAAACCAATGCGACGACTAAACCTAGTTCTTCACACGTGAACCGCAACGACCTCTTCGTACCTATTTAATAAACTCGAGTAAAAAACAGATTTGAGGAAATCGTTAAAACAAAAGTATGAGATAGAGCGCGATGTAAAAAAACAAATCAAATTTTTCGATTACACGACGGGAAGTATAACGACCACTTGCGGGCTGCGTTAAATCGTCGGTCGTCGGCGCGACTATCGTGAAGGTAGCAGCAAACAATTGGCCGGCATATATTTCCCTTGCTCATTATGATTATGTATATGATTATGATTCTCGAATCCAATCCAAGTGCCCCAACGTGTGTGTGTGTGTGTGAATGGACCCTTAGAGCATATACAAATGGAGCAGCGTTGCCGTAAGATGTGACACGTGCAGATTTTCTCCGGGAAAAATTTAGCGTGTTTGTTACAGGTAGTTTACTAACAACACTATCGTCGAGAGTGAATAAGGATACCCTCCACTTTATTTACATACAGTTGGTAAGCTTTGACTGGTGTTTATTTACAAATTAAAATTGAACAAAGAAAAAAATTCTCTAAATTTAAATATCAAATGTTTATACTGTATTTGTCAACACTTCTTAATACAGTTTAACAACTTGCATGGAAATTTTTTTCCCAAAAAAGTAAGACAAACTACTCCAGTATGTGTAACATCGATTAGGGTCGAACGTTCCTGTACACGGGAAAAAAATGAACGCAAAAGACATTTAGTTTCATCTCCAATTGACTAAACGAGATCCTATGTTCATACGAGTACGATAGCAGTGATAGCACATATCATGCATAAACTGGGAGACAGATTAACCCTTTACCTATAGGGTCAGCGCCATAATTGCGTGCATATTAAACACTGTACCTGTTTGTGTGTGTTATATTATCGCTATTCGTTTATAGTATCTGATATTCTGATATGTCGAGTGCGTCGAGACTCGATGTCAGTCGAGTTAGGTATAGTCAATATATAAGTAGAGAATGTGTGTAAAGAGACGCCGCAAGAGAATTGATCAGTTTTTTGTCATTTGTGTAAGTACACCCACCTAATCGCTAGTAGAGACGGGCAACGCCTGTCTTGAGATTTCGAAAAGTGTATTTAAGTACTTAATCCTAGCTGATAATTGATGGGTGCATGCGTGTATTGCGTATAGTGTGTAAGAGAAAGAAAGAAAGAAAGACGCATGCACTTGTAAAAGGGAGAAAAGACGCGATTACGAAGTCTCTACTGGTATGGGTTCAAGATGTCGACTATTGGCTTGTTAAGGTATAATATGGTTTTAACGAGGGTCCATGCGATATTGTTTCTGATGCGTTGCACAAACTAGATATGCTGATTTATTATCAGTGACAGCAGTTCTCTGGCCGAGACCCTTGAAAGTGACAAGTTTACTTTGAAATACAAACTTCTGAGTAGGCTCGTATTTTCACGTGTTAGTTTTATGTGCTTTTCAATTGTTTTATTTATTTAAGTATTTTGTCAAAACGCATTGTATCGAATCGAGGACTACTTTTAATTTGCCTCTCCGTAAATATTTCTTTCATATTTTGTTTCCAGATAATTTGAACAGGATGTCGGAGTCGACTATAGCAAGACGCACCAAATCTCAACTGGCACTGCCCCCGGATCTATGTCCTAGCAAGCAGATCTGCTGCTTCTGTTTTATGAGCGAAAATAATGAACTGGAGTTTGGCAAGCTCTATCATTACAATGGCATTGTTACGCATTATTACTGTCTGGTTGGTTTTTTAATTTTTACGTTTTTTCGATTACATTTTATCCAAGTACTCAAACTGTGCTGTTTCAATTGCTACCTATCTGCTTAGCATGTAGCTCTAATAACAAAACATCTCTAAAGGTTGTTGATTTATGCATAAACAAAACATAAGTATTACTTAGAAAACTTTTCATTGATCATAAACTCCTTTTCGTTGTACTAACTCTGCATGAAACTTTTTAATTAATAATTATTTTGTTACAGCTATTATCTTCAAATATGGAGCAAAAAGGAAGTGATGACCAAGGTATATTAGGATTCTTGGAGGAAGATATACAAAAAGAAATCAGAAGAGGAAAAAGACTTGTAATGCATTTTTTTTTTTTTTTTTCTACAATATTCATTCTGATTGTGTCTAATGTGATACTAAAATATATTTTTATTAATTGCTTAGTATTGCTCATACTGCAAAAAGAATGGTGCAACTCTAGGATGTTGTAATGCCAAATGTAAACGTATTTTTCATCTACCATGTGGTTTAAAGGCTGGATCCTTACATCAGTTTTTTGGAGAATTCAGGTCTATATTTATTTCATAAAATAAAAAATCTATTTTATTTAATAATTTCTGTGCATTAATAAATCAGTATTTCTTACTGGTTAGGTCCTATTGTATCAACCACAGACCAAGACAGAAGATCGATGATCGGGTTAAAAGGGAAATCGGAAAAATGTCCAATATTTTGTGTTATATTTGTTATGAGGGAGTAAAACCATTAGATAGCAATGGAACCCTATGGGCACCGTGTTGTAAAAAGAACGCTTGGTTTCATCGAAGATGCGTTCAAGTAAGTTTTAACTCAAATTACGACCATTGTTTTGCTTCATGATTTTCTAAAAATATATTTATATCGCAGCAACTTGCCATGAGTGCAGGTTACTTCTTCAAATGCCCATTATGTAACAATAAAAGAGAATTTCAAACTGCCATGTTAGAATATGGCATATACATCCCAAGACAGTATGTATTAATGATAAAGTGTAACTCAGTTAATATTTTCTATGATTGATTATGATTATTTTATTTTAGGGATGCGTCTTGGGAACTTGTGCCAAATGCATTTGAAGAATTATTATATAGACATGATCGTTGTGATTCCAAAATATGCCAATGCGCAAAAGGCAGAACGTACACAAGTAGTAATGGGTAATATTTTACTTTTTTTCTTTCTCTTATTTTATAAACACTTGTACAATACTTCAATAAATAAAAAAAATAAAATAAACTGTTAATTGACAGAAAATGGGAATTGATACTTTGTCGAACATGTGGCTCACAAGGAATACACGTGTTATGTGGTCAATTGAAGTGGTCAAATCCAACGTGGGATTGTCCAGAATGTACTCTTATTTTAAGTAAGTTTTTTTCCAAACCGTTTAAAATGTGTACGAAACTTTTAGTTCATAAATTGTATGTCTTTTTTAGAGAATAATTGCGAAAATACGACTGATGATTTGACGTCAAATTCGAATGAAATTACTAGACAGTATGTACAGTTTAATTAAACTATTTATTTTGATGAATACAAAATTTAAAATCCAAATTTTTTATGTTAGTGGAGGAAATACCCTTGATACTACAGCTATGGATAACAATGAGGATAGTGATTCTGATATATCAGTTGGTAATGATTCCTCACCTGTAGACAGTAGTTTGCATGACATTCCAAAGAACATACCCCAAGTCAAATTACGTCCTGGTCCAAAATCATTCAAGTTACAGCAAGTCCAAAAAATAAAAAAGTAAGATTTCATAAACACTTCTGCCTACTATAAAGCGAATTTCAAAAATTAATTTCGATAATTTTTTTTTCTAATTATATAGAAGCATTGATACTGTCAGTTCTAATAACACTAATCCAACATCCACCAGTAGTTCCTCGAATAGTATTGAAAATTCAGTTTCCAAAGCAGCTACTGAAGTCATATGTCTAGATAGCGATGACGAAGCCCCTGAAGTAAGTAATTTTAAAATCGATAGCATTGAAACTATCTATAAATATTCTATTAACTTTTTTACTTTACGTTGATGAGTGATGTTTTTTCAATACTCTCACATTAGTCCGTTTACGCCGTATTAAAGTAACCCTATATCCACATTGTTAATAAAAGCTGTTGGACCTTTATTGCCTTGTAATCTTTCAACTAATTCCACAAGTAGAATTTTTATTTTATTAATTTCTTTTTTTCTGTTACAGAATTTTTAATTTTTGAGTTATTTATCTATTATCGCATCCATATCAACAAATAATTTAATTGTTATCCACGAATATATTAAAATTTAATATATTAATATTTTTTCTTAGATTCTGTGCGAAACCACAATGAGAAAAACAAATAAAGTCGGCCAATCAGTCATGTTACATGGTAATTTTAATGGAGCTAGCAGCAGCAATCCATTTGACATCTCGAATACTGGCTTGATGACGAGTTTTCAAATGTCCCCGTTCAGTCTTACAAATTTATCGCCTCTGACCATTCCCATGCAAAATAATATCGAAGAGTCATCTCCCTTCAACATAATCATAAGTAACGTGACCTCTGTACCTGCGGAATTTTTCGCTAGTGTACCAGAAGAATCAACTGAAGAATTGACGCCAACCATAGAATTCCCTGCATTGACAGCTACACAGTCACCAGAAGCGCAACAGAAACCACCATTGAAAAGGCCTCGTCCTACCGAAGATAACGAAATTAAAGTATTTACTAAAATGTCAAAGCAAGCTCGTCTCGATAATGACAGCACTGTGAATGATAATACGGAAAGCTCTGTAGCAGTCCCGAGTAGCAGTACCAGTATTTTGAATACTTTAACGGTGGACGCGGCTGCTCGCTCATTGTCTAATGTTACACTTGCGAGTTCTAGCAAAGTCAATACGACAACAACTGGGGCTGGATCCAACGGCGTGTCCCTCGAAAATGTAAGCATTTTTCTTTACTACTTGACACGGGACAATGCGATTAGTCGATTTGCTTTATCAAAGATCGAACGAGAAGAGGTAGATTAAGATGCAGCACTAAGTCTTCTTCTACAAAATCTATTTTTTGTAAACAAACATGCCTCTGATTTAATTCTGTCAAACTCGCAAAGAAAGACATTCATCTGGGATAACTCTAGTCTGTGATACGACGTGGCCTTTTTTTATGTAAGATTTATTTCTGAGACGTCAAAGCGTACGTACTTATACAAAATAATGCGTTCAAGTACGTAATGTGTATAAAAAAAAAATTACGCAGTTGTGTTACATCGAGCTCTCCATTTTTTTTGTTGTCGGTTTATTATTGTTCAACTTATCGAGTATGCTTTATTTTTGTAAAACATTATTCGTATTAATTGGAGTGACGTACGGGGAACGCGTTTTGCGTGTTTATCATTGTCCCCGTGCTTTCTCTTTAGTCTTACTCTTGGGGTTGTAACAGTGTCACCGAGATGCAGGCTCAACACCTACTGTGTACGACAACGGATACGTCAACGTTCGTACAACAGTTCCAGCCTACTTTGCAGCCGGTGATGGCAAGTCCAAACTACCCTTCGATATTCCAACAACTGATTCTGAGGCCAATACCACTGCAAGAAACCTATCCGAACCTATGTAGGCAACATTTTTTACATCATCAACCAAAATATTGTGATTTTTGTTGGAATTTTTTTTAGAAATATACTTTAATTGTCTGTAATTTTATATTATGCACAAGTGATTAATTTGCACTCCAAATAATATTTATTATCTTTAACAAATTTTCTCACACAAATAACAAAATATCTTTATTTAATACAATTTGGTGAAATGCGTATGGTTGTACTTAATTTTTATTTATTTTTTTTTTTTTTCTTTTTTTTTTTATGTACAAATGCTTTGTGGGGATCAATGTGTGGTTTATTAATCGTCTTCGCATGTATTTCCAATTTCTGCACCAATAACATTTTTGGTTTTTTGTCCTTGCCTCTGTAAATGTGAGTACGCTTGCTTTGATGCACATGTTTTTTTTTTTTTTTTTTTTTTTTTTTTTTTACAACTCAACAGGATCCTGTGTATGACAAAAATGTATTTTTCAAACTTTTAGTCATACCGTTTTCAAAAATCCAACTGCCAATAGCAGCGGCAGCTGCTGCAGTAGCAGAAGTTCCAAGCCAAGATGTTCCTCCAGTGATCGAACTAGATTGATTCCAGACATCGTTCGTCTGAGCGATCTGAAATTCAGAATTTTCGAAGACAACATTGAGGTCAGTAACTCTTACCGTCTCGTTGTGTTATTGTTGAATCATAAACAAGTTGAAGTAAAAAGCATTATATTTTTTAGTTATCGCTTGGCAATCGTAAAATTCAAGTAAAAAGAAACTGCGAGCTGAAGAATACGGATAGCAAATCGAACGAGCCAAGCAGCGACTACAATCAGTCCATGTCATCGTCGCCGTTGGAATCTCAGTATGTATCAAGCGATAAAAGCTCTAGTAAACCAAACTTTCTGCGATTCGATGATTCTGCGACAGAATCAACTCATTCGCGTCATTTGAGAAGCCGCGGTCTCAAAAATTTTGTATACGAGGATGACAATACCTTACTGGAATATCCGACATCGAACATTGATACTTCTGGTGGGGCAAAGCTCATGAAAAAGTCCAATAAACAGGGCCGTAATGAACTTAAAGAAAATTTGGATCCAGAAGTTTCAAGCTCGAGCAAGAACAACGTTCTTGATAATGTAAATAACAATCAAACTAGTTCCTCAGATTTAAAAGATATTTTTAATTCACTTGAAAAATCGACCAAAGACGATGATAGTACTAGCCTGGTAAAAAAAGAAGATTCAGACACCAATCAGCGTTTGTTACGGAGAAGTGGTCGTACTATTCGTCACTTCCGATCTATAAAGTCGTCGAATGGACTAATCGACAGTGATTCTGTTTCTCAATCGGTTGAAAAATCAAATCAAACGATTGATCAGCCAATTCGAAATACCAGGTCTCAAAAAGTTATTAAGGATTCCGATTCTCAAAAAGAAAACAATCATTTGAAAAATGTTGATATTAACGACTTGCGGTTCGATTTGACGGGTAAGGTAAAGCGAGATGATGAAGAAATCGACGCGGATGAGGATTTCAGAGTTAGCATAGATTTACAAAAGCTAAAGAACTTCATGAGCGTGAAGCCTGATTTATTTTTAAAAACAAATGGTGTTCATGGAAAGCTGCATATTTACAATGTGAATGTAAAATTGAGAGTTGAATTGAGTACAGGTGAAACCAAGTATCTGACTAAGTCTCAAAGCTTTGATTGCCTTTCAGATATTGATAAAAATGACGATTTTCAGTTCAACCACATTAAATGTAAAAGCCTTAACGACTTGTCGCAAATCGCTAGTATAAATAATTCAAAGTTGACTGTTAAACGAGGCTACGTTGATAAGAGAGTCAGAAGAAGTCAGCGGCGTAAATCGAAACGATTTGAGAAGCATGAATGCGTTAGGTAATTTAGTTCACATGTTTACAAAAACGTTTGAAATTGTATATTATTTTTTGATGAATGAATATGAGACATACAGTTTATACAACAAAGCTTTGAACACAGTTGAAGTATGAGTGCAATCACTTTTTTTTTCGGTGTAACCAGAAGCTATTTAATGACTCATGAATTTACTTTTACTTATGCAAAAATTAAATAAATAGTTTGTACAAATTTCATAACATCAATGTAATAAATTAACTGAATAGTTTTTTATTCGGTTTTTGTGATAAATTAACTATAAAATTAAAAGTTGTTTCTTTTAAAGAAAAATTATTTACATCAAATAGACAGTGCTGATGTTATGTTATGTAAATAGTATGAATGTAAGCAGTATGTACAACTTTTAATATGCATTGTAAACGGTTGTAACAATGTCCATTTTATAAAGTAAAACTAATTCAGATAATATTGTTTGATATGTTTTTGATACCACATCCTTGAAAATCATCATTCCTTAATAAAGGTGCTGCACTTATCGGAAAATACAGAAAATACTCTACAGATAAATATTTTAAACATTTAAATATACAGTACAAAAAAATAAAGACAATATGATAATATAGCCTAAAACAACCTTATAATTGTAATTTATATAAAGTATTCATAGATTAATAGAGAGCCTTTTTATGAAAAATTTATAATTAATGTTGCTCATTAATCACAAAAAATGTAATCAGTATTTGTATTGGCTAGTAATATTTTAATTAACTGCAGTTAACAGTTCTTGAAAAACTTTATACAGTATAAGAAAGTACAGTTTATAACAAGCAGTAGTACAAGCTTACTATGCAAGACAATCATAAGTTGTGAAAGTTGGATTAAGTCGCATTAAATGTTTTCATTAATGACATGATCACTTTTTTTACTGAACACAATAGTTGTCAGTAAAAGGATAGAGATCAGCAGAAATGACTTGAAATTATATAAATCTATGATTTAGTCTATGTTGGTATACTTTTTATATAATATATATGTACAAGTTTTAGTCATAACGAATACTATAAATTGCATTAACCATGCCTATGATTTCTCAAACACTGTTCTTAAAAATTCGCAATTTACCAAAAAGTAAAAAGAATATTTTACATGGGAGAAAATTAAAAAATGCCTAATTTATCAAGCTGGAGGTGGTTGTTATGTTCACATGGGTTTCCAAGCAACTGTGCTCATTTTATTATTGAGTTCTTGTAAAATCAGTGAGCAAGTGAGTTGTTTTTCAGGAGGCAAGCCACTCACACCCTCTAACTCGTCGTCATCATCTCCTGCTCCACTGCTACTCCCTCCTCTTCCTTTCCCTTTGCCTTTCCTTTTCTTTTTTTTACTATTTAATTTTTGAGTATCACTGTCAGACCCTGTTTCTATTACTCTTCTCAACTGTTAAAATAAAAAAATTAAAATCATAAATGACTTCACCAATAAAAGAATATGACAGTATACAGTGGAAATTCATGTCGTTCAATTTATTGTACTTGAAAGATAAACAAAATTTGTCTCACCTTGTTGCTTTTTCGTGTTTGTTTTTCAAACTCTAAGGAATCGTAATAATTTGGTTTCTCTCTTTTGATTCGATTTGTTCGTCTTGTTTTAATCGTCCCGGCCTCTGGGCTAGGCGGACTTTTAATGGAATTTCGTCGGGCATTGAAAAATGAATGACCACAACGGCATGCCTTGCAAGCAACGGGCATCTAGGAATCCCATAAATGGTGTTAACTTATGAAAGTAATAGCTACTTGGTTAATGAGGCAATTAATATTTTTTTTTTCGTAGAATATAGAAAAAAACAAAAATAAAGACTATTGATTGCTATTATTACCAATGTAAAATTTTATCGATTTGAGGTTATTCAAATAAATTGTTAATGATGAAATATGTAAAAAAAAATTAACTTCACCTGCCGTTCACACTTAGGGCAGCCTTTGCTGATTGTTTTCGTTTTCGCCATCCTAAAATACACACAATACTTACTTAGCTATAAGTACTGCTACACATTCGTTTATAATAGAACGATACCTCAATAACAATTCTTGAAAAGTACACCTGTAAACCTACATATATATATTTATATATATACATATATACATGAACCTATGATGACATTTCTTTGTGTGCGTCCGATTATAAATATATATTTAGTACAGATTGATGCTAGCGCCGCCCGATCATGCGGCGTTACCACGACCTATATACGTGACTGCTGGCAGCATTTGCGGAATACATGCCTCTGATTTTATCATTATGGTAAAGAGAGAGCACGGTGTATATATAGGATATACTAGATTTATTCGGAATTAAGCAAAGAGTAGCTCGGAGCGCTCCTTTTTGTAATAGATTCAATACATTGACTATAGAAAAAATTAGCGCTCCGAGCTGCTCCAAGCTTAATCCCGAACAAATCTATTTACACGAAGTTAATAGTACATATACCTATATTGTAGAAGCAGAAGTAAAATCGAGTCGAGGAGGACGTGGTGCGACTGACTATCGTCAGTACAGTGCGTAAGCTTGTTAAGTAGCTGCATTAATCGTATGTACACGCATGTACTGTTTGGTGTATGCAATAAGTACACGTTGTTGCTCAATGTAAATTATTTGATCAGTGTTTTTTTTAACAACAATTCAATGAGCTGCTGGGGTGACGGTCTATTGTTGTTTGACAGTGCTTTTATAGTTAATTTTATTGACTGACAGGCTGACAGCTGTTGTAAAACATCTTGGTACAATTGTTGATAGTCGCCCGGATTTTGTTGAAAAAAAAAAAAATTTAGTAAACAGGGCGTTTTGATCTCAGCAAAGATGAAAAGGAAATCGGACAAGGAAGGTCGAGTTATGGAAGAGGCAGGGGAAATTAATGGATTTACAGTGGAGCATGGCAACATCGAAGGGGACAGAGCCAATATTGCCATACTCTTGTTTTTATACTTACTGCAGGGGATACCGTTGGGTCTATGCAGCTCCATTCCTATGATTCTTCAGAATCACAACGTATCGTACAAACAACAGGTACATCGACATTTTTGGACACAATTTAACAGTGTTGGATATGCATTGATAATTTTATTTCATTTTGACCTTACAGGCAGAGTTTAGTTTTGTCATATGGCCATTCTCGTTAAAACTACTGTGGGCTCCAATAGTTGATTCAGTATTTATTTCAAAGTTTGGCAGAAGAAAAACGTGGCTATTACCGGTGCAATATTTAATGGGTATTTTTATGTTATTTTTATCAAATCATGTAGATCGTTGGTTAGGTAATGAAGAAGGCAGTCAATTAAACATTGGTTTGTTGACTGTTTTATTCTTTGCACTAAATGTTCTTGCCGCAACTCAAGATATTGTTGTTGATGGTTGGGCCTTGACTATGTTAAAAAGGTATTTATCAAATTTTACTTCAATCTATTAAAAATTCCATTTGTACATCTAGTTAATAACTTTGTTATTATAGATGTAATGTGGGTTATGCATCAACGTGTAATAGTGTTGGCCAGACGGCTGGTTTCTTCCTTGGCTATGTATTATTTATGGCCTTTGAATCAGCTGATTTCTGCAACTCATACCTAAGATCAACACCTTTAAGTACAGGATTAGTAACGCTTCCTGGCAAGTTATTATACTGTTGATCATAATAGTAATTCATGGGTCTTGATGATATTTTTTATTGTTAATTATTAAAATTCCTTTAGGATTCTTATACTTTTGGGGTTGGATTTTTATTATTGTCACTACTTTCATTGGAATATTTAAACATGAAAATCCAGAAAATAGTCCAAAAAGTGAAAACATTAATGTAGCCAAAGCATACCAAATGTTGTGGACAACTATAAAATTACCAAATATAAAACTTATGATGATAATATTATTGACTGCCAAGGTAAAAAAATATCATCAGTACTATACAAAATTTTAATTTTTCAAATTATAAAAATACTTGAAAAACATTATAGATTGGTTTTTCTGCAAGTGATGCAGTTACTGGTTTAAAAATGGTGGAAGCTGGAATTCCAAAAGAGAAAATTGCTCTAATGGCAGTACCACTGATTCCTTTGCAAATAGTATTGCCACTCTTTATATCAAAATACACAGCAGGGCCAAAACCAATGGATGTTTTCTTAAAAGCATTTCCTTACAGGTAAAGTATATCATTGAAACACAGAAGATTGTATACTTGGGCTAGCAAGCACAAAATCCTTGTAAAATTCTTAGCATTTAATAAGCTTTTATATTGTTATCATTCTTGTAAATTTATTCATTTATAGTTAATCATTATAATTTCAGGTTGATGTTTGGTTTGGTTGCAACATTTTTAGTTTATGTGACACCGTATTTAATAAATCGTGGAGAAGTACCAGCTTACTACTTTATAATACTCATTTCGTTATATGTACTTCATCAGGTAAGTGCACAGCTTAATATTTTGAAAAATTATAAGAAGCGTAAACAGCTTTACATTTTGATTCTTAGATTTGTGCAAGTTGCATGTTTGTTGCCTCAATGGCTTTTTTTGCGAGGATCAGTGATCCTGCTGTTGGCGGTACCTACATGACATTTTTGAATACTTTATGCAACCTTGGAGGAAATTGGCCAGCCACAGCAGCTCTATATTTTGTTGACACTCTCACGTTTAGAGAATGTAACAATAACTCTTTGAATGATTGCAGTACAGTTGAAAATAAAGAGGTATATGAAAAAAGAAAATATTGCAAAGTATCATACCAAGAATAAGAGATAATAATAATAAAACTAAATTTTGTTTGTAGGCTTGTGTTAATGCAGATGGAGTTTGCAACATGTACATTGATGGATACTACATTGAAAGTATTCTTTGCGTTATAGTTGGTTTTGTTTGGTTGAAGTGGGGGAAAACGAAAATTCAGTATTTGCAAGAAAGGCCTGCATCTACATGGAAAGTTGTGCGAGATAAAAGATAAGCTTTTTACACAATTAGTACTTTTATTGTAATTTCCTTCAAAAGATTGGAATTCGAACTAGCATAATTGTATATAATGAGTGCAATGGTTTTGATACATGGTTGCCTAAGAGCATAACACAGTGATTTTTTAAGAAAGAAAATTTATTGTTAAAACAAGAGTGTGATAGTTTTACCTCAATTATATTCTTCCAGTATATTTTCACGCTGCTGAATAATTAAAAACATTTTAATACACTGTACATAGATGTAAAACATTACTATAAATTAGCAGGTTTTCTTTGTCATCTGTGATTGACATTACTAAGTTATGTGTATTTGCATGGAAGACTGCTGTTAAAGTAAATTGTTAACAAAACAAACGATTTTTTAAATCAACTTAATATTTTTTATTAAACAAATTATAATTATCACAGATTACTTGGAGCGTTTTTGTAACGTTCATTAGTTGTACTATGAACGAAACCATTCTGTTCAATAACTATAAGTATTTTTTACTTTGAAATATTAAGTGCATGCAACGAGTAAAATATATATATATATATATATATATAAGAAACAAAATGTGTGTATATTCTAGTTAAATATGATTCAATAATGGATTGTAGTTATTTTTCAAATGCATTCTGCTACATTCCACTGAGTTTGATTGCTGCACAAGAGAGTACGTACAGAATTGTTGTAATTGGTATAATATTTTAATATGAAGCAATGTTGTTGAAGAAAGATGAGGATATTTTTGGACTAGAGGAATGTAAAAAGAAATGGTTAACAATACTGCCACTTTTTACTAAGTCGGGAATTTTTTTAAAAACAATTTGGATACCGTTCGAGTTGTAAAGAAATGTTACAATGCGTGTAGACACTCGTAGAGAAAAAAATAAGACGCCGCAAATTGTTGTACAAAGTTTTTTGGACCACAGTGTGATCAATGAATAAATAATTTTTCAACTAAAAAAGCTTTTTATTTTAAACCCTTGTGTTATACTTGAACAATAAATGAGCATTTTTTGTGAACGTATGCAAGGAATTATTTAGGGCTACAGACTGAAAGATTTGGCGATTTCAAACTCCATTTTTTCTGTAGTAGCTCCAAAAGGTACGGGGTACATTCACAAAAGTATTTTATGCATTTTACTTATAACTTTGCGGGGGTGTTTTCCGCAATAGTCACCAACAAGTAATCTTATAAGTATAAACAGCAGACGACAATTAACAGCAAAAAAAAATTTTCACATTTATTCCATTGGGTTTTTTTTACACTTCGGGCGTGATCGGGCTTCGTCGGCGGCCTTCGCTCGTGTGTGTGTTTCAATCAGCGCCATCTAGCGTGTGATTTTTCTCGTCGCTCATAGACCCTACTGACGTTTTTTTTTTGGCCGGCGAAGAAAAGCACAACTCAGATTTCGCCGTTCAAAATGACATAGAGAAATCTGAGTTGTGCTTTTTTTGTCCCCATCAAACTGGCTGTNTCTTTTCTCATACAAAACAACGCTTACTGTACGATTCATGGGGGTACGGGTTCGCCAACTTTGCTCACCTACAGCGCTGCAGTCGTTTTTTTTATCCCCTCCAACGGCTCCAACCTGATGCACGGAGCGAATACTCTTTAATTTTGACATTTTAAATTTGTATATAATTTCAATCAGCGCCATCTAGCGTGTGATTTTTCTCGTCGCTCATAGACCCTACTGACGTTTTTTTTTTGGCCGGCGAAGAAAAGCACAACTCAGATTTCGCCGTTCAAAATGACATAGAGAAATCTGAGTTGTGCTTTTTTTGTCCCCATCAAACTGGCTGTATTCGACGGCCCGGATATCCTACGGACGTTTTTTTGCTTCGGGTGTGATCTTCAAGAGCAAAAGTCAACCCCACCAACCAAGCCCGATCACCGGATCACGTCCGAAGAAGCAAAAAAAAGTCCGTAAGGTATTTTAGGTATCCAGGCCGTCGAATATATAGCCAAATAAGTTTGTCGGTGGACGAAGAAAAAAGCTCCATCATCACCTTTAATTGACAGCTCTTGAGGAATTTTTAAATTAACTCGCACGGTAAGCTATAGTTACAGTTTTCAGTCTCACCGATGACAAGTAACCGCCGCATAGGTAAGTTAGATACCGTCCTTACCAACGATGCTATTGTCAAAATCTGCAGTGACGCGGACGAGTGCGGGGAATAAAAGAGGTGATCGCACGGGTTCACCGAGAGACGAGCGAACGGCGAGAAAGGAGGGGCAAAAGAGAGAGGTAAAGTACACCCCTATAGTTATACTTATAGTACACACAAGGGAGTTGCGGGCTGCGGGTGGAGAGTGGAGAGGAGTGAGAGAGATTGGACGCTGCGAGGCAAGGATGCATGATGACTGCAGTCGTCGTGCAGCCGTACTCAACAATAGTGCGAATCAGCCCTTTTTTACACATCCAGGTATAGGTATACGACGAGTAGGCGCGCGCTGTTGTTCGCAAGGAACGGGAAATATTAACGCGAAGAAAGCAACTCAAAGCATTTTTCAACACGCTTCCGTATGGAGTACTCGTGAGTTTAGTGCTGTGTGCTGATCTAAGTACTAAAAAAAGGGCGTGTAAGTGAAAACGAGTATTCCGGAGCAGGTATATTATGAGAGACAGGACATATCGACCAACAGGATGTACTCAAGTGCATCGTTACGCAGCTTTCAAAATTCGCCACCTCCTGTGAATTCACATTGACAACTAGCGCTTTGAACGAGACATCCAATCCCATATGAAATAAAATAAAGGTGCGCGTAGGCGTTCGTCGACCCCCTTGTCCCTTCAGTCCCTTGTACCTATAACGTGCTACACACTGCACTTAACTTCTGCTATGTTTTTTATACATATACCGCGTATATGTATATAGATTTTCATCTCAGCCATAGATATACGTGTACTTCGTCTGCTGTGCTCCAAAAACCATGGAACGGAGCAGGAGGAGGAGGCAGCTTCTAAGTTTGTTGCACGTCGCATCAAGGACATCGTGTACCTAATGTAAAAATCGAAAAAAGAAATTCGAGCATGAACGTATAGGAGCAAACAGCAAAAGCTGCATCCGACAAATAATTATTTTTTGTGCGTGCGTTCGTGCATGGCCGAAGACAAAAGCGGCAAGGTGTGCGTGTTCAGTGGAGTGCGGTACTTGGCGTTGTTATTACCACTTGTGATACACACCTATAATTTTTTTGCTTTCGCTTCTTTCTTTCTCTTTTCTAGGCTGCATCGGGCACGCTCTGTGTGTGTTTGTATAGCTTTGCCCCGTTTTATTGCCGCTGAGCGAAAAAGTCTCTCCTGGATAACTTAGCAGTGTCCTGCACAAAGTATAGCCGAGAGAGAGAGAGAGAGAGAGAGAGAAATAATGCCGTGGCGAAATTGCAAAATGCCTGCACCCAAGGGAAACAGGGAAAAACGGAGCAACGGTTGTACCAAATATAGGCATGGCCACGGCAACTGAGCAGCAGCAGGTGCACGAGTCCTGCTGCAGGAGGAGTCGTCTGTGGATGCCACAGCATCTGCAGAGAACAGCCAACAGGAGCCACGGCTTCTCGTAATGCTGCTTACCCTCTCGGATCGTTCCTGTCAACCTCTGCACCAAGTCCTCTACTTTGTTGTTTAGTCTTTTCTTTTTCTCCTTATTTTTATTTTTATTTTTTTTATTTTCTCAACAATCAGAGAGAAATCAGAACACAAAAGTGAGTTTCTCATCACAGAATATTCGGGGAAACACTACAAATGTGTATCTACGCTCGTATGTGAAATTTAATTACGTGTGGTATTCCTGTGGAAGAGAAAAAACACCTGCCCTGGCGGCTCTATGTAGTAAATTATACATGTGTATATAGACGGGAAAAAAAGGAGCCAAACGAGTATACACGTACACGAACCTGCAAAGTATTAGGTATATATACCTGTAAATATTGGGGGCAAGGATCGGGTCCCGTATAATACTACCACAACGCCAAGGTAAAATACGACGATCGGTGTTGTATTCGTATATACATTCCAAAAATTTGCGGCAGCTGGTACAGTCATCGAGAAAAGATAAAGATTGATTAGAGAACCAAGGAAACAATGTAATAAATTTTGAAAAAAAAGGGATTAAAAGGGGCGAGAGCGTGCGTGCGTAAAACAAATCCTGCAGGTAGATTACACAGGACGACGGCTGTTGTGCTGCTGGAGATTATGGAAGGTGCGAGGAAGAGAGGCTGAGAGTATACAAGTGCTGCAGGAGAGCGAAAGGAGGGCTGGTTGGCTCGTTCGATTGCTCCTCTCCGTGTATAGCTCTCGAGGAAGAGGAGAGCAGCGTATACGTATACGCAGGAGGGAAAGAAGAGGAGGAACAGAGAAAAAGAAGAGCTTATAATCGAGGTGCACGCGCGAACGCGCCTGTGCGTGAGCAGAGGAAAGGACATGGCCTCGCAAGCATCCTGCTTCCTGCTCCTGCTGCTGCTCGTCCTCGCGGAGGTGAGGCTCTTTTTTTTCAATCAATTTATTTTATTACCTTTTTTTCCTTCCGCCCTATCCTCCTCTTTCCTCGGTCTCTCATTTCTATGAGCCTGATGTACCTACGATCCTCTCCTTCCTCAGCCTCATCCTCCTCATCCTTGATGAACCGCTTCCCACCGTTTTATAGATGCTTGTTATCGTTATGCTGTGCCTTGCACTTGTCCTGCGGTCGAATTTTTTTTTTTTTTCTTTGTTTTTTTATCCGAACCACTTGTTAAACTTTGCTTTTGTAATCATCGACATTATTATTATTATCTTCGGAGCAGATTCATTTCTCTTTACTCCTCATCTTAATTATTTAGTATTTATCGCGTGAGGGTACATTTATACATTTGTATACAACAATGAACTCGTACAGGCAGGACTCGCGGTCTTTTTTTTTTTTTTTTTTTTAAGAACAAAAACACATTACAGGTGACACAGCAAAAGTGACAAAAACTGAATTTTGTTATCGAAAACTGCCGTGTGGGATGTACGTTGCATGTATGTATTTTTTTTTTTTCAGAGTTAAAAGAAGAGACGAAATGCTTAGAAGCGTCAAAATGCAATTAATGATTTTTTTATTTCGTTCAAACAAATGACAAACTCGATTGTTTCTACTACCTTTTTTTGTAAAAAATTCAAACCGAGTCACTTGATTCGAAAGAAAGAAATAACAAAAGTTGCAGGTGCATACACTCTCGTAACGAAGAATATACCCATTTTTATGAAAATTCGTCCAACCTAATATTCAACTTTATGATATCTCATACACATGTAGCCGATATGAAGAAACCGAGAACGACGAAGAATAACTTTTTCACAGACAAGAAACCTTTGTATTAAATTATGGTATCCTCGTCAACTTCTCACATTTGCATCGCGATAACATATTGTTTTATTGCGTGTATGCATTGGTACACGTAACTGAACCTACAAGGCCCGACAATGCAAAAAGTGCCGTTTACAACAACAACAACAGCAACAACGAGAAATAAGTGCGAGTAACGTTACATCGCCCTCCATCCCCTCTTTCCGGTGAAAAGTTTGTAGAGCACATACGTATACCCCCGGAGGAGATGTACAGCCCGAGATAATTTCCAGACTGTAGCTCGAATGCAAATGGAGAACTCGAGGGCCGAGTAAGTAATTCAGCGGTGCTGCCGTGTAACGCTCGCGCGCGCGAATTTCCCGAAAAACGCGGGATTGATGATTATCAGGGAGCGCGAAAAGGGGATGGGAGAAGCTGGGGCTGTAACGGGGAAAAGCGGGTGTATGTGTGCCCATCAGCTACTCCCTGATGGCTCTCCAAAGTGTGCGTGCGTATATCTATACAGCCGCCCGTTGGTACGTGCATGGGAATAAAAAAAAAAAAAAAAAAAATCAGTTAACCTGGCTACGCGCAAAGTAGACGATTACGTTAGTTGCGGCACTTACGACTGTTATGGTTAACAAACACGGTAGCGTACAAGTACTTATTACATCAGTGTACGATAATGCACATTTTAACGTTGCCCACGGGGTGTTGTTGTTTCACTCTCTGGTGTACTCGCGTTTGTTATTTTACATTGGGGTTGCACTCTACTATTAGACCAGCAGCTAAATATTCAGTCGCACGCAATGTTTCGGTTTACATTTAGGTACACAGGCACAATGAACGCTGCATTTCTTTCTTCTTTTCTCCCTCACTCCATTTATTTATTAATTAATTAATTAATTTTTTTTTTTTTTTTTATGTTGTATGAAAATATGTACGTTTTATGGACGTTGATTTATTTAAATTTTATCCTGTGACAAGTGTAACTTTAGTACGAATGATTTGACGCGAGTTTGATTTGCTACGCGTAAAAAAATCACGAATGACTTTCAAAGTATAAGTTTAATTGATTTGTATGTTTTTCTTTTTTTCGACACCCAAGTAGAAATCACGGGTCTAAATATATACCCATGAAACGGGTAATTATAGAAAAGAATTTCGCTTTTCGCAACGAAAATCATACTTGTAAAGAATGTTGGGGGAAAAAAAAAATAAAAATGATAATAATAATTAGCAAGAAAACCTGTTTAACGGTAGAAAAATCAGATATGCATTTGAAGATACGACAGGGTAGCTCGGGTAATAATTCTCGCGAAGAAGCTCTTTTGAAACGGCGCCTTTTGAGAAATGTGTCGCATCAATTTTCTTCGCTATTTTCCCAAAGATCGCACATGCAAATTGCAATATTTTCGTCCTGTTGTAAGCGTAATTTATCGGATATTGTTGCAACCACGCGAGGTGTTGTTGTTACGTATTTATCAACAAAATCACCGGTGCACTGTTGCTCAATAAGATTTCTTTTTTTTCTACGACGAATGCGCTCCCCTTTGCCGCCACTAGTTCGAGAAATATCGGCAAATCGTCAGGATACATTTATATATTCTCCCCCTCAATGTACAAAAAATAATATCGATCGACGCGAACGAAGCCATCAGGGTTTGGTCGGAGCAGTATAAGGAGAAACACACAGAATTTCGCAATCAAGCCCACATATGTCATATAGGGTAATATGTATATCTAAGCAGTACAGAGCGGTATAGCGTTAGCGCAGTGGTACATATAATATGGTTACATAGGATACACCTATATACCTACGTGGAGCCGGACGGTCGGTGATATTACGCGGATTTCTCGAGGCCTCGCGGTGCACGGCGTAGGGGCAAATTAAATCTTTACGCGCCAGAGAGCCCATGTAGCAGCGCGGGTATAGTTGTATGTACATTGCACCGAACGCCGCGCACAGGTACCTATATATGTATACAACGCATTATGCAACGTTGCTGCGTTATAGAACGTGTTTGCTCACATATAGGTAGGCTTGTGTTATACAGCACATGGACACCTGTCCGTCTATTTGCAGTCCGTGGCAATCGAAAGGTTCTCTTTGGGATTTGCATCGTTATACCTGGTTATACCTACCTCGTTGTTGGCCGTGCAAAGTGTATAGTTTTAACGCTGACCACTCGTTCTCTGATTGGAATAAAAAAAGTCATGCGGTGATGACGGCCGCAACATAATTTTGCCGGATGTTACGCTACCCACTCTCTATGATCGATCGTCCGGGAGCAATTTTGATGCAAAAAAGCTCATGATTCACCATCAGGCGTGATGATTCACACTATATACGGTACTGATGCTGTTACACGGTGTATATGTATTTTACGGAAGTTTCATCGATCGAAACTTCGATCCGATTGGAGAAATTCACGCGAGTCCTTCTCAGTTCCAGATCGAAGCGTCGCGACGCAACAGCACTTTTAATTTCTTTCTTTTCAATCGTTTCGGTGTATCTTAGCACAATCCATCTAAAGCGATTTGTAAAACACAAATGTAACCCGCGCTAACACTGTTTCGCGGGTACATTATATAGATACATAGCGGGTATTTGTGTGTTTGGTGTAGGGGAGGCGGGGTAGGGAGATGGGGAGAGAAAAAACAACGGCTGCGCGCAATTTTTACGTAACCCGTGTGTTTGTGGGAATGCCAGTGATTACGTGCGATTTAATACCAACCATTACACGGGCTGCGCAACGAGAAATTTAATACGATAAACAGCAATATATATGCCTCATATATATACCGTCAAAATCACAACTTTGGACTCTCAGAGATGTAAATGCAAGAAGAGCAATGTATTTGCAATTTTTTCTTCTTCTTTTCGAGCGTCAATTTTGGGACAACATTAGCTCGATCGAGGCATATCTTCAGTCTTATTTATTTTTTCGTGTTTATTCACTACCTATACGTGCTTTACACCCACATCCAAATGATATTATTTTCGCGATGCTCTGTTACCTCGCGATCACGCGGTGTTTTATAAACTTTTATAGTCATTGGTTTTTGGTATATATACATCGTAAATGTGACAATGGAAAAATGTAGATTTTTTTTATGCAAGAGGATTATATTTGCTTGGTTTTGATCCGATAACGATAAGTATTACGGAAACTGCCCATTTGGCTGCGATTGTATTTTTATAGTAATCTCATTGCATACTCCCTGATGGCTCTCCAAAGTGTGCGTGCGTATATCTATACAGCCGCCCGTTGGTACGTGCATGGGAATAAAAAAAAAAAAAAAAAAAGTTGGCTTTACAGTTATACTTATATATACACACGCACGGGAGAGAGAGAGAGGGGAAAGGCTCGCGACTGTGCGTATACTTTCACGTCTAGGCCGTGGGAGAAGCTCGTTACACTTACGTGGGGGAATCACGTGAAACTCAATCGTTGTTCACGACGACCGGATTTTCGAATAATTTTAACGAGTTATTGCTCGATCGGGTGAATGTGGGAATCCATACACAAAAACAAATCGCGTATCTCATAAGTGCATTGCGTGGGTACAGTAAATGCCTTCGGCTTTTGGTCCGACCAATTTGGTTCGCCCCTTCATTTCCTATGTATATTGAGAAGAGTTGCCGCATGAAAAAATACGCTCATGATTATGTGTTCACACTGAGAGAAAAAAATAATAAAAATTATATATAATCTATAGATAAATACCAGCAAAAAAAAACCATTCTGTACAATGAATCGGATGCAATCTGGCAAAAAAAGGAAAAAATTATTATTTTTAACAGTTAAAATATAATGGTTTGAATAGTCAAAATTACTATGCTGGAAAGAAGAAATTTATTAACCGATCCTTTTACGGTTTACTGTTCCAGCGAGGTAATTTTTACTGTTTTAACCATAATTCTAACTACTCAAATTATAATTTTTACTATTAAAACAATAATCTTTACTGTTAAAAATAATAATGTTTTCTTTTTTGCCAGATTGCATTCGATTCACTGTACAGAACGGTTATTTTTGCTGGAATTTCCTCTATAATTTTTATCATTTTTTTCCCCTCAGTGCAGTGAAAATCATGGCTGATGTGCTCTTGTCAGTGTAACTCGGCTCATCAGGATTAAATTGCTACAGATTTGCTCGGGAAG